CACGTTCAAACAATCTGGAGAGAAATCCTATGCGTTGTGCGATTGACGTGCTTCCCATCAACTCTTGAACACATGAGACCATGGGACCTGTATGTGCCTCATGGAGAATGAAATCGTTGTCCAGATTCGGGGACTGCTTCCAGCAAAGACCAGGCTTGTCCGAATCTATTGATGATTGAGGCATGAAATCGGGATCATTTCACACACCGAAGGTGACACTATATGAACCTAATGTCCATCAGTGCGACGAAACTACCCCATCCAACCGCCTTGCTTCATCCCTCCCGCATCCACCCTCTGGCCTCAAGACTAAATTTTGTCGTGGTGGGAGTTTCGGTAGGTTCTATGACTTCCTTGCAAGCCACAGCAGTGAGCCAATGGGTCCTCAACATTCTGGGTTGGTCCATTGACAATGACATACCATGAAGATTCCAGAAGTTTGAGGGAGGGAAAATAAAACGGAAAAATAAATTTAAGATACGACCATGCAGATAGCTGAAATTTAGACTGCAAGAAAATGTACATTGTACCCGTATCACGTTCGGAAAATCTGGAGAGAAATCCTATGCGTTGTGCCATTGATGTGCTTCCAATCAACTCTTGAACACATGAGACCATGGGACCTGTATGTTTCCTCATGGAGAATGAAATCGTTGTCCAGATTGACAATCAAACGCGCTGTTTTGGGGACTGCTTCCAGCAAAGACCAGACTTGTCCCAACCTATTGATGATTGAGGCATGAAATCGGGATCATTTCACACACCGAAGGTGACACTATATGAACCTAATGTCCATCAGTGCGATGAAACTACCCAATCCAACCGCCTTGCTTCATCCCTCCCGCATCCGCCCTCTGGCCTCAAGACTAAAATTTGTCGTGGTTGGAGTTTCGGTAGGTTCTATGACTTCCTGGCAAGGTACAGCAGTTGGGGGGGGCATTGTTGGACTGTGAGGCATTGGGGCCTCAACATTCCGGGTTGGTCCCATGGCAATGATTGCTTCATCAGTTTTACAGACACTTAAGGAGTCACAGTCACCTATGTTTTTTTCAGCTGACAGGCCCTCCACAAAAGAATTCCCCAGATCGCCTCCGGCTCTTCCGGCAACTCTGTGGTGTGCTCCTGGCTTTGCTCATCTGAAAACGACCATGGAACCAAAATGAGGGAGATTTACCATCCCTAACGAAACAGTTTCACCCTGAGAATAGCCCATGTTTATAGAAAAGTCTTCTACCCCAGACTTATGCCAGGGTCGATATGTTAGTTGGCAACGCAAGGACTGTCATAGGACCGATTTTCTCACTGAGGCAACCCGAGAATATCCCTCGGACTGTGAGGCATTGGGGCCTCAACATTCTGGGTTGGTCCATTGGCAATGTAGTTCCATCAGTTTCAAGGAAGGAAACTGATAGGGAAAAAGGATGAAAAAGGAATGCCAGATTCCATCAACTATAGCTGAAATTTAGCCTGCAATAAGATGTACATTATCCCCGAATGATGTTCAAACAATCTGGAGAGAAATCCTATGCGTTGTGCGATTGACGTGCTTCCCATCAACTCTTGAACACATGAGACCATGGGACCTGTATGTGCCTCATGGAGAATGAAATCGTTGTCCAGATTCGGGGACTGCTTCCAGCAAAGACCAGGCTTGTCCGAATATATTGATGATTGAGGCATGAAATTGGGATCATTTCACCCACCGAAGAGGACACTGTATGAGCCAAGTTAATGTCCATCATTGAAATGAAACTACCCCATCCAACCGCCTTGCTTCATCCCTCCCGCATCCACCCTCTGGCCTCAGGAATTGAAGTGGTCGTGCTTTCGGTAGGTTCTATGACTTCCTTGCAAGCCACAGCAGTGAGCCAATGGGTCCTCAACATTCTGGGTTGGTCCAGTAACAATGACATACCATGAAGATTCCAGAAGTTTGGGGGAGGGAAAATGAGACGGAAAAATAAATTTAAGATACCACCAGATAGCTGAAATTTAGCCTGCAAGAAAATGTACATTGTACCCGTATCACGTTGGGAAAATCTGGAGAGAAATCCTATGCGTTGTGCCATTGATGTGCTTCCAATCAACTCTTGAACACATGAGACCATGGGACCTGTATGTTTCCTCATGGAGAATGAAATCGTTGTCCAGATTGACAATCAAACGCGCTGTTTTGGGGACTGCTTCCAGCAAAGACCAGACTTGTCCCAACCTATTGATGATTGAGGCATGAAATCGGGATCATTTCACACACCGACGGTGACACTATATGAACCTAATGTCCATCAGTGCGATGAAACTACCCCATCCAACCGCCTTGCTTCATCCCTCCCGCATCCACCCTCTGGCCTCAAGACTAAATTTTGTCGTGGTGGGAGTTTCGGTAGGTTCTATGACTTCCTTGCAAGCCACAGCAGTGAGCCAATGGGTCCTCAACATTCTGGGTTGGTCCATTGACAATGACATACCATGAAGATTCCAGAAGTTTGAGGGAGGGAAATAAAACGGAAAAATAAATTTAAGATACCACCAGATAGCTGAAATTTAGCCTGCAAGAAAATGTACATTGTACCCGTATCACGTTCGCAAAATCTGGAGAGAAATCCTATGCGTTGTGCGATTGACGTGCTTCCCATCAACTCTTGAACACATGAGACCATGGGACCTGTATGTGCCTCATGGAGAATGAAATCGTTGTCCAGATTCGGGGACTGCTTCCAGCAAAGACCAGGCTTGTCCGAATATATTGATGATTGAGGCATGAAATTGGGATCATTTCACCCACCGAAGGTGACACTATATGAACCAACTTAATGTCCATCAGTGCGATGAAACTACCCAATCCAACTGCCTTGCTTCATCCCTCCCGCATGCACCCTCTTGCCTCAGGAATTGAAGTGGTCGTGCTTTCGGTAGGTTCTATGACTACCTGGCAAGGTACAGCAGTTGGGGGGGGAATTGTTGGACTGTGAGGCATTGGGGCCCCAACATTCCGGGTTGGTCCATGGCAATGATTGCTTCATCAGTTTTACAGACACTTAAGGAGTCACAGTCACCTATGTTTTTTTCAGCTGACAGGCCCTCCACAAAAGAATTCCCCAGATCGCCTCCGGCTCTTCCGGCAACTCTGTGGTGTGCTCCTGGCTTTGCTCATCTGAAAACGACCATGGAACCAAAATGAGGGAGATTTACCATCCCTAACGAAACAGTTTCACCCTGAGAATAGCCCATGTTTAGAGAAAAGTCTTCTACCCCAGACTTATGCCAGGGTCGTTACTTTAGTTGGGAAGATAGCTGTTGGACCTGTGGCCATGGCCATGTGGTGTGCAGCTGAACCCCGAGCTTGCGCCAACCAAGATGGCAAAGTTTAAGGATCCTCCCTGGCGAGAAATTCAACGCAGGGACTGTCATAAGACCCAATATTTTTCCAACATATTGAATCATCCTGCCATATATATATATATATATTACATGATATTATATGATATATGACTGACATATCTATCTTTTTTGGCGCTTATAGAATCATATAGAATCATCATCATATCAGGCCTGATGTCCATGTTCTCCCAGGACACCAACGGACACCAATGGACCAACCCATGGCATTTTACCGATTCTTAGATGATTGGATGGTGAATGAAAAACTAATGTTGTTAAAACCGTGTCATATACCACTGACTGCGAATGGTTTAAAAAGAACCCATAAAAATGGTGATTTGGAAGATTGCTTATTATTGTTTTACCAACATTACAGTGATATACAGTGATATTGTTATATAGTCAATGGTGTATAGTCCTGAGGTTTTTATGAGTTCGTGTGCCCTTCAACATCTGCATCAAATCTGGCTGGACGATAACAATTGCCGAACTGCCAATATTTGGTGATCAGTGACTGAATGGTGGCTCTCATCCTATCATAAACCGTTGATTATTTTGAGTATGTTGCGGTTGGCCTCTGGGATTGCCACAATTCACCTCCCATTTTGCCAATTTCATCCAATGTCTGGATATGTTTGGTGGGCCCAACGTGGATAGTATCCCAATTTGTTTTTAACCCTCTGGTAACTATATAGCAACTCCCAAAAAGATGCCTAAACATGTGTCCAGGATGGTGTATGAATACACATAATATATATATATATATACATATGGGTAACTTGTAATATGTCACTAATCTGGAATAAGGCCATGTGGGGATGATTCCCTGTACATTCACCATGATTCCAGGGTTCGTTCACGACGTGAGGTCCTCCTCCTCTCCTGGAACGGTGGTACTCTCCTGCCGCGATGGCCAGAGTTTTCATCAATCAGGGTCTATTTAAGCAACAATGGGGCTACAGTAGTTCCGCAAAAGGCGGCGGCGGAAGTTTCAAAGGTAGGAAACTAATAAACTATAGGAGACGTGAGTCGTTGTGATGCATGGATGGCAGAACAAACCCACTGATGGATCGGAAGGTGGTTGAGGCTCGAAGTCTTTCTTTTTTTCTTTTTTTCTTTCTTTCTTTCTTTCTTTCTCTCTCTCTCTCTCTCTCTCTCTCTCTCTCTCTCTGTCTCTCTCTCTCTCTCTCTCTCTCTGTCTCTCTCTCTTTAACTCTCTCTGTCACCTCTGTGTCTATCAATCGATCAACCGACCAATCGATCAATCGATCAATCGATCGAATCTATCTATCTATCTATCCATCCATCCATCCATCCATCCATCCATCATCCATCCATCCATCCATCTACCTATCTACCTATCTACCTATCTACCTATCTACCTATCTATCTACCTATCTACCTATCTACCTATCGACCTTTCTACCTATCTACCTATCTACCTATCTATCTATCTGTCTGTCTATCTATCTATCTATCTATCCATCCATCCATCCATCCATCCATCTAATCTATCTACCTATTACATATCATATCTATCTAATCTATCTAATTTATCTAATCTTTCTAATCTGTCTAATCTGTCTAATCTATCTAATCTATCTAATCTATCCAATCTATCTATCTATATAATCAGTCTAATCTATCTAATCTATCTAATCTATCTGATCTATCTAATCTTGTCTAATCTATCTAGTCTTGTCTAATCTATCTAGTCTATCTGATCTATCTAATCTATCTAATCTATCTCATCTATCTGATCTATCTAATCTATCTATCCTATCTATCTATCTATCCTATCTATCCTATCTATCCTATCTATCCTATCTATCCTATCTATCCTATCTATCCTATCTATCCTATCTATCCTATCTATCCTATCTATCCTATCTATCCTATCTATCCTATCTATCCTATCTATCCTATCTCCTATCTATCCTATCTATCCTATCTATCCTATCTATCCTATCTATCCTATCTATCCTATCTATCCTATCTATCCTATCTATCCTATCTATCCTATCTATCCTATCTAGTCTAATCTAATCTCATCTCATCTAATCAAATCTAATCTAATTTTCTATCTTTCTATCTTTCTATCTATCAATCTAATCTAATCTAATCTAATCTAATCTATCGATCCATCCATCCATCTATCTATCCAACCATCTTTTTATCTATCTATCTATCTATCTATCTATCGATCTATCTATCTATCGATCCATCCATCCATCCATCTATCTATCCAACCATCTATCTATCTATATATCTATCTATCTATCTATCTATCTACCTATCTATCTATCTATTTATCTATCTATCTATCTATCTATCTATCTATATCTAGTTCTATATCTATCTCTCAATCTTTCTATCTATATACATATCTATATCTCTATCTGAATCTATCTATCTAAATCTATCTGTCTGAATCTGTCTGAATCTATCTGAATCTATCTGAATCTATCTAAATCGATCTATCTGAATCTATCTGAATCTATCTATCTATCTGAATCTATCGATCTATCTATCTATCTACCTATCTATCTATCTGATTCTATCTATCTGATTCTATCTACCTGATTCTATCTATCTGATTCTATCTATCTGATTCTATCTATCTGATTCTATCTATCTGATTCTATCTATCTGATTCTATCTATCTGATTCTATCTATCTGATTCTATCTATCTGATTCTATCTATCTGATTCTATCTATCTGATTCTATCTATCTGATTCTATCTATCTGATTCTATCTATCTGATTCTGTCTATCTGATTCTGTCTATCTGATTCTATCTATCTGATTCTATCTATCTGATTCTATCTATCTGACTCTATCTATCTGATTCTATCTATCTGATTCTATCTATCTGAATCTATCTATCTATCTTTCTTTCTATCTATCTATCTACCCTACCCTATCCTATCCTTTCCTTTCCTATCGATTCTATTGAGCTAGTAGTGTGGTGTAGTTAGTTCTAGTTCTAGTTGTTGTTGTCGTTGTCGTTGCATTTGTAGTGCAGTGTAGTCTAGTGTAGGGTAGTGTAGCGTAGTGTCGTGCAGTTGTAGTTGTAGTGTCGTTGTAGTTGTAGTTGTATGTGTAGATGCAGGTGTAGTGTAGCGTAGCGTAATGTAGTGTAGTTTAGCATAATAGTGCACTGCTTGTAGTGTGGTGTAGTGTAGTTGTAATCTGGTGTAGTGTAGCAGAGTGAAGTTGGAGTTGTAGCTGTCGTTGTGTGCACGTTTTCAAGATCTCAACATCCAAAAGTGGTCCGAGGCCGTCAGTTTTTAACACTTTTGACTTCGAAATCGGCTTCGCGCCACAACGTGCAAATTTTCATCTCTCATCTCCCCCGATGGCTCCGCATCCACCGCTTTAGCAAAACACAGGCGTTTTGCGACTGTTCTACCGTTTCGCACACCTTGATCTTCTTTCTTCTGCCTTTCTCTTCTCTGATCTTATTTCTTCTTCCTTTCTCTTCTCGGACTGCTCTCCCCACTGTTGCTGCATCTGTCCATATTGTCGGAAGTTAGACTTCTAAATTTTCGTCGATAAAACCAAGTATTCAAGGGATATGATGGGGGTAACTTGGGAATATGTGTGTGTTTCTTGGAACGGTTTATGTCTTTATGTGATATCTAGGAAGCGATGTCTTTTCTTCTTAACCACAATTTACCCCAAAACCAATTATCCGGAGCTGGCGTGGAGTTGCAGGTGAAGCACCTTTTCAGGATGATAGTTCGATGAGATATTCCCCTGAATTTCCGGGTTTCCAATTTTTACATCTGGGTTACCATGACAATCACCCCTATTTTTGTCATGTTTCTATCCGCAGCGACACTCCAGGTCCTCCTCCTCCTGTGGTACACTGGTACTCTCCTGCCGCGATGGCCAGAGTTTTCATCAATCCAGGGGCTATTGAAGCCGCCAAAAAAAGGGGCTATAAAAGCAAGTACCATAGGGATATGGGATATGGGACGGGGTTAAGATGAGAAAACATGTGGTTTTTTGGAGCAGTTGATGTATTTATGTGTTTATGTATTTGTATTTATGAAAATATGTATTTAAGATATGGGATATTTAAGATATACATATTTATGTATATTTATGTATTTAAGATAATGAGAATATGATGAAAATCTGGGAGATAAAACCAACTATCAGTCATCATAGGGAGATAAATGACAACCATCATGTTATGTAAAAGAATGGGGCTATCAAGCCACCTATTATAGGGATATGGGATATGGGGTTAAGAGGGGAACATCTGTGTGGATTTTGTAACAATCTATGTGATATCTGAATTTGTTCCAACAATTGCGGATTTACCAGCAATGTATGGCTATGTTAATAAGGAAACTATGATCACACATCAAATTTTGAGACGCACCTTCTTTTCAGACATACTCACTCATGTGGGTTCCATGGATATGTTCCCCTAAGTCTCCTGGTTTCCAACCTTCCCATCTTTGGGGATTCTATAAATCATCCCTGTTTTTGTCATGTTTCCACCCGCAACGACACTCCAGGTCCTCCTCCTCTCCTGGTACAGTGGTACTCTCCTGCCGCGATGGCCAGAGTTTTCATCAATCCAGTATTGAAGCCATATAAAAGCAAGTATCAGGGATATGCAATGTATGCATTTTTGTATTTTTCCTGGTTTCCAACTTTCCCATCTTTGGGGATTCTATAAATCATCCCTGTTTTTGTCATGTTTCCACCCGCAAACAGGTCCTCCTCCTCTCCTGGTACAGTGGTACTCTCCTGCCGCGATGGCCAGAGTTTTCATCAATCCAGCAATTGAAGCCAAAAAAAGGGCTATAAAAGCAAGTATCAGGATATGGGATATGGGGTTAAGATGAGAATATATGTATTTTTGGAACAATGTATGCATTTTTGTATTTTTCCTGGTTTCCAACTTTCCCATCTTTGGGGATTCTATAAATCATCCCTGTTTTTGTCATGTTTCCACCCGCAACGACACTCCAGGTCCTCCGCCTCTCCTGGTACAGTGGTACTCTCCTGCCACGATGGCCAGAGTTTTCATCAATCCAGGGGCTATTGAAGCCAAAAAAAGGGCTATAAAAGCAAGTATCATAGGGATATGGGATATGGGGTTAAGATGAGAATATATGTATTTTTGGAACAATGTATGCATTTTTGTATTTTTCCTGGTTTCCAACTTTCCCATCTTTGGGGATTCTATAAATCATCCCTGTTTTTGTCATGTTTCCACCCGCAACGACACTCCAGGTCCTCCGCCTCTCCTGGTACAGTGGTACTCTCCTGCCGCGATGGCCAGAGTTTTCATCAATCCAGGGGCTATTGGGGGTTAAGATGAGAATATATGTATTTTTGCAACAATGTATGCATTTTTGTATTTTTCCTGGTTTCCAACTTTCCCATCTTTGGGGATTCTATAAATCATCCCTGTTTTTGTAATGTTTCCGCCCGCAACGACACTCCAGGTCCTCCTCCTCTCCTGGTACAGTGGTACTCTCCTGCCGCGATGGCCAGAGTTTTCATCAATCCAGGGGCTATTGAAGCAAAAAAAAAAAGGCTGTAAAAGCAAGTATCATAGGGATATGGGATATGGGGTTAAGATGAGAATATATATATACAATCTATGTATTAGTATGTATTCATCTGTTGATGCATGTATTTAAGATGATGAGACTATGATGAAAAGTCTGGGAGATAAAACCAACTATAGATCACCATAGGAAGATCAATGACAATTATCATGTTTCAAAAATGAGGCTATCAAACCACCTATTGTAGGGACATCGGATATGAGGTTAACAGGGCAAAATATGTGTTGTTTGAAACAATCTGTGACATCTGGGTTTGTTCCAATAATTACATTTTTTCTTTGCAATATTCTACTATTAGCGATGCTTGTGCTGTGATTTCGCAAGCATCTTTTATAGATTTATATAAAAAAGGGCATATTTATAATGCAGAGCAACCTGTAATATGGGATAGAGTTAGTAAAACTGCTATAGCACAATCAGAAGTAGAATCTAAGCAGCAAGAATCTTTAATGTATAAAATAGCAGTATCGTTAGATTGGGGACCTGATCATTTTTTTTAATATAGCAACTACACGGCCAGAGTTTATGCCTGCTTGCGTAGCTATATTATATAATCCTGAAGATAAAAGATATTTGCATCTTAAAAACAAGAAAATAAAACTTCCTATTTTTGATATTATAGTTCCTTTAATTGCAGATGAAGAGGTAGATAAAGATAAAGGTACAGGACTTGTTATGTGTTGTACTTTTGGTGATTTTTTAGATGTAACATGGCAAAAAAAACATAACTTGCCTTACTTGCGTGCGTCCGTATTTACCAGCAATATATGGCAATTTTGATCGGGGAAATGATGATCACAAATCACATTTTGAGACGCACCCTATTTTCAGACAAACCCGCCCATGTGGGTTCCATGGATATGTTCCTCTAAGTTTCCTGGTTTCCAACTGTTTTTTTTGGGGACTACTATAAATCATCCCTGTTTTTGTCATGTTTCCACCCGCAACGACACTCCAGGTCCTCCTCCTCTCCTGGTACAGTGGTACTCTCCTGCCGCGATGGCCAGAGTTTTCATCAATCCCGGGGCTTTTGAAGCCAGAGAAATGGGGGCTATAAAAACCAAGTACCATAGAGATATGGGATATGGGGTTAAGATGAGAATATAATGGAGCATTTTGTGTATTTATGTATTCATGTATTGATGTATTAGATGAATTAATGTATTTATGTATGGATGTATGTATTTAAGATGATGAGATTATGATGAAAAATCTGGGAGATAAAACCAACTAATTATCAATGATCATAGGGAGACAAGTGACAACTATATGTCATGTCATACAAAAAAGGGCTATAAAGCCACCTATTATAGGGATATGGGATATGGGGTTAACATGGAAATATATGTGGTTTTTGAAGCAATCTACGGGATATCGGGATATCTGAGTTTGTTCCAAAAATTGTGGATTTACCAGCAATATGGCTGTGTTAATGAGGAAATGATGATCAACCATCAAAATTTGAGGCGCGCCCTATTTTCAGACAAACCCGCCCATGTGGGTTCCATGGATATGTTCCATGGATGTTTCAATATATTTGGGATATAATATCATACATACCCTCTGGTTATTTAAGATAGCCATGGAAAATGGCCCATTTATGGATGATTTTTCCTTTTATAAGGGATTTTCCATGGCTATGTTAAATAACCAAAGGGTAATACATAATGAATGACTGTTCAATGGCAATGACTAATTCTAAACTTCCTGTTTGAGCATTTCACCCCCTCGTCTGCTTCACCATCATCTGCTTCACCTTTTCATGCAGCCAATGTAATGCCCACGAGTACAACCGCAGAAAGAAAAACTACAAAACGATTTCACTTGTATGCTGATGGTTGCTTTGAGCTAGCGCAGAACTTTTTGGGAAAAACAACTAGCTATATGTTTGACAGTAGCACCATTTCTTTGAAAAGAATATGCTACGATTTTTAAAGAAGCCCAATTGCCCGAAATATGTGGAAGCCGCACACTAGTGTGCAGTGATTTAAGACGCATCCAGCGATTTTCGAGCTCGATGAGTTGCAATTGCTGTTAAAAAAACTGCTTTTTCAAAACCCACCCCCCACCACTGCCCGCTCTCCAGAACAAATCATCATTGTTTTTTGTCATGTTTCCATCCACAACGACACTCCAGGTCCTCCTTCTCTCCTAACATCGTGGCACTCTCCTGCCGCGATCAGGGTTTTCATCAATCCAGGGGAAGATGCGTGCCTTTTGTAGAGCCTTTAAGCAACATGTAGATTTATGAGTTTCTGTATATGAGTTTTTTGTAGATTTATGTTTTTTTGATGAAACATCGGGAGATAAAAACCAACTATCAACCATCATAGGAAGGTAAATGACAACTATCATGTTATGAAAAAAGGGACTATAAAGCAACTATAGGGATATGGGATATGAGGTTAACAAGGGAATATATATATTTGTAACAATCTACGTGATATCTGGATTTGTTCCAAAAAAATCGGATTTACAAGCAATATATGGCTATTTTAATAAGGAAATGATGATCACACATCAAAATCTGAGGCGCATCTTCTTTTCAGACAAACCCGCCCATGGATATGTTCCCCTAAGTTTCCTGGTTTCCAACTGTTTTTTCTTTGGGGGTTACTATAAATCATCCCTGTTTTTGTCATGTTTCCACCCGCAAGGACACTCAAGGTCCTCCTCCCCGTCTGACACAGTGGCACTCGCCTGCCACGATGGCCAGAGTTTTCATCAGTCCAGGGGCTATTGAAGCCAAAAAAAGGGCTATAAAAGCAAGTATCATAGGGATATGGGATATGGGGTTAAGATGAGAATATATGTATTTTTGGAACAATGTATGCATTTTTGTATTTTTCAAACAAACCCTATGTTCAGACAAACCTGCCCATGTGGGTTCCATGGATATGTTCCCCTGAATTTCCTGGTTTCCAACTTGTCTATCTTTGGGGGTTGCGAGAACCAGAAGGGGCGCTGATGGCGGGCTTTTTTCTGCACATGGGTGTTTCAATATATTTGGGATATAATGATAAAATATAATACATAATGAATGACTGTTCAATGGCAATGACTAATTCTAAACTTCCTGTTTGAGCATTTCACCCCCTCGTCTGCTTCACCATCATCTGCTTCACCTTTTCATGCAGCCAATGTAATGCCCACGAGTACAACCGCAGAAAGAAAAACTACAAAACGATTTCACTTGTATGCTGATGGTTGCTTTGAGCTAGCGCAGAACTTTTTGGGAAAAACAACTAGCTATATGTTTGACAGTAGCACCATTTCTTTGAAAAGAATATGCTACGATTTTTAAAGAAGCCCAATTGCCCGAAATATGTGGAAGCCGCACACTAGTGTGCAGCAAAACCCACCCCCCACCACTGCCCGCTCTCCAGGTCCTCCGGGCCCTCCTCCTCTCCTAACGTCGTGGCACTCTCCTGCAGCCAGGGTTTTCATCAATCCAGGGACCAGGATGTGTGTCTTTTGTAGAGCCTTTTGTCAAAGTTTCTGTATTTGCAAGCAACATGTAGATTTATGAGCTTCTGTACATGAGTTTTTTGTATATTTATGTTTTTTTGATGAAACATCTGGGAGATAAAAACCAACTATCAACCATCATAGGCATATAGAAACAACTATCATTTTCAAAAAATAATGAAGCTATAAAGCCAAGTATCATAGGGACATGATCTTGTGAACATGGGAATATATATGTATATATATATGTGTGTGTGTTTGTAACAATTTATGTGATATCTGGTTTTGTCCAAAATTGTGGATTTACCACCAACATATATATATATGATATACAGTATATATATATGGTGTATATATATATGGTATATATATGATATATATATATGGTATATATATATGATATATATATATATATGATATATATATATGATATATATATATGTGTGTATGTATACATGATATACATATATGATATATATATATGTATCATATATATATATCATATATATATATCATATAATATATATATATATCATATATGATACATATAATGTGACTATTTCAATTGGGGAAATAATGTTCAACCATACAATACAATTTTGAGGGGCCTCCCATGGGCTCCCCATTTTTAGACAAACCCGCCCATATGGGTTTCATGTCCCATGCCATGTTATGGAAATACGTCCCAAATTGTAGAGCATTATGTCAGTGTCAAATCTGAAGTAGGATTCCGTATTGAATTTCGTGCAGGCAAGTTCACATCCCCTCAATTCTTGCAGAAAAACTGTTTTCATCCTGCTTTTCGGTGCTTTCAAATAGGTGTGTGTTCGTACTGCAGGACTGCTCTTCAAAAATCATGTTTTCCAAGAATTATATGTTCCTTTTGTATAATACATAGATATACATAGGGGTTCCTCCAGTGGCGGGAATTTTCACCGTCACCGTCGCGATCTTTAAAGCTGTCATTCCCGATGGCAGGTTGGTTCCCGCCTCATCTTCCCCCATGGCCAGGCTCAGCGCTTTTTCTGCCTCCTTTGGGCGCCGTTGAAATTGACCGATCATCACCGATCATCCCTCACCATTTGGTGGTTAATATATGTTAATATTGGGCGGGTGGGATGACGGATGATCGAAAAATGTTTTGTTTTTGTTGCGAAGCGAAAAAAAATATATTGTGACGTGGATGAATCTGAAAATCGATGGTAAAAGAAACCGCCCGATCTTTGAGGGTTCCAAGATGAACCAACTGAAATTATCAGAAACCAAGGGCCTTGCTCGGGGCAGGTGACCATGGGGCGGGTCAAACCGCCGGAACATCCAATCCACATCTCTTGGTCAGTGCCAGTATCCTCTGGTTCTCAACCATGGCAATTGAAAATGCTGCAAAAAAAGAAGGTAGATAAATCCCCATAAATGGTACCCTCTGGGAATTTGTTACATAGCTATTGAACATGGTGATTTAGTTCGTGGATTTACCCATGAAAATAGCATGGTGGATCTTTCCAGTTCGTTTTTTGTTGACGTTTACCAGAGGGTATGACTTATAGTTCTTAACCCCGTTTTAATGGAGGTTTCCTTCGCGTCAAATCATCGATGGTCTATTTTATAGCCATGGATTCTCTAAACTGACGGGGATGGATTAAGAGGGCGCTCATTGTCTTTGCGTTTGCAACCATGTTGGGGAGCTACCTAAGCACATTTCTAGACTTTCCTAAGCAAGGAAATTTATTACAATCTCAACTCCAAACTAGAATGACAGTAACCAATATAAGATCAATAATTCTATGAAAACGAAAAAGGATTTCGCTGTGGTCAAATGAGTCTATCCCTCGTCCGGGGTCCCTTTTTCAACAAAAGGTTATCGCAAGGTTATCGCTAAATTAGAACACCAGGATGATCAAGAAAGGAAGAGAAAGAGGAAATGAAAAGGACGCATGAAACAAAAAGAAAAAGCTAAAATAGATGGAATTCAGAATTGGATTCAAAATCAATTTTGATTTACTTCAGAATTCAATTGCGTTTAGATTTAAAAGGAAAGTAAAAGGGAAAAGGGAAGGTAAGAAAAAAAGGATACAAAGGAAGAAGAATTTCAATTAAAGTATATATATATATTATGTATACAAACAGCACATAAACGGAATTCAGAATTGATTTATATAAAATATAAAGCTCTATTGTTTGACTTATATAACTCAGATTTCAATTGCATTTAGTCATTTAGTTTAGTTTAATTCTACTGCTTTGGGACCTGGGAGAACAAAACAAACTGCCTGCAGAAAGCAACGGTTCAATCACCTTGGACAACAAATGACATGGCCACTGCAAGAAACGTGGGCACTGCAGGTTGATTTTTCTTCATAATTTTTTCCCATCGCGTGAAGGTGCACAACAATATGTTCTTGGTTTACACCAAGTTTAATGCACTCTAATATGGTTACAAGTTATCGTTTTTTTGGGGTGGCCTATCGCTTTACATGGTTTGGTGCACTTTCTGGACACAACTGGACCCTCCCTTACTAAAGTAGTCTACGTATCTCATGTGACTACCGGAGTCACGCAACTACGGCATACTACGGCATCTCAGGTTTGGGATCCATACAAATTCATACAAAATCCAGGTATTTGTCCTTTTTGTGGCTCAAAATCTGTTGACATTTCCCAAACTTTGAGAAATATCCTGGTAAATGATCAAATTTCACAACCTGAAACCGTTTCAGGCCATAAAAAGCAGATGATTCCATCCAGTTCCCGTGATTCGTTTCCAGGACCTGCCCTTGAAAAACTGGACGATGAAGCAAAACATAGCTGAGACATCAGCGACTCTTGGACGCATTTTTTTTTGCTGTGTCCAAAAATCAGGCACCAAAAAAAATGGGCGTAAATCCAGCATTTCCAGACACACTCAAATTATCACATATACAAACATATAGAAACAATATAGACTCCTGCGGTGTTTTGCAAATCCAATCAAATCGCGTGATTTTTTTCACCATTGGATGATAACAATCCATGCATTTTGGTCCTGTTTCAGCTCTCTCTCCCATAGCACTGCATCCTTCGCCTGAGGGCTCTCATCCAACTGAGGGCTCTCATCCGCCGGAGGGCTCTCATCCGCCTGACGAACATCCAGAAGTTGAAGGAATCAAAGGGCATTCCCCATTTTGGACATAGATCCAAAATTGTGTGTTTTAAGACATACCTTAAGACATACCTTAAGACATACCTTAAGACATACCTTAAGACATACCTTAAGACATACCAGTGTAACATCAATTAATATCAAATCACATCAGTCTAAATTAACATGATATAAATTAAATATCACATATGTTAATTCATACCAGTGTTTGGCTCCACTGTCTCGTGCTGATAAACTCATCATTTCGTTTACATGAAGGATGGAAGCTTTCTGCTCAAGACTTTGCCTCTACTTGGGTATGCAGTTCCAGTTGTAAATAGATATAATATGATATAATAATAATATATGGTGGCTACAGTATATTGTATGTATATGCATGTATATGTTCATAATCAAAGTTCTAGGGGTTATATCCCAACTCATGGAGTGCATCATCACAAATCATACCATATCATACCCATATATAACCCCCACACTGCATTTTTATGTGTTTTTTTAACGCAGCGTTTGTTGTTCAATCTGTCACTCCAATTAACCTCTGGACTGCACTCCTGGAGTGCTGGTTTTTCTCTGCAAAAAGCTCAACACTTGCGCAAGTGATCCTCAGTCACCAGTTCGTCTGACTTTGGGGGGCGGCAAAGCCCCGATGTCAGCCATGAGGCGAACCACCGAGCCCAGATTGCCGTTCGTTGCGATGCCAGATTCGCAGCATCACATTTTCGGAGGACACAAAAAAGCCTGCAGACGGCACCTGACTCCATCAGCAGGCGGATTATGTCCAAATTGCCTTCTTGAACTGCAGCCATCAAGGGTGTTGCACCTTTTTTGGCTGCACCAGCTTCGACCAGGAAGCGGACAATGTCGAGAAGGATCGAGAAGGCCTTCGACAGCTGCAACAAATAAGGGCGGTGCACCATCGTTTTTTGCCTGATCTTTGGCTGCACCAACTTCGACCAGGAAGCGGATAATCTCAAGATGGCCTGCGGCAGCTGCAACAAACAAGGGTGTCGCACCATAGTTGTTCGCTTGATCTTTCGCTGCACCATTCTCGGCTAGCAGGTGGACAATGTCGAGATTGCCCTCCCCAGCTGCGACTAACAAGGGTGTATACCCGAAACAATCGAGCGGATTAATCTGAGCTTCTGCATCAACTAAAAACTCTGCAGGTGCGACGTGTCCCATCTGGGCAACATGATGCAAGGGTGCCTCATTGGGGGTTCGTGGGCATTTCAGCAACTCTTCAAGCGCACGTAAGTCATTGTTCCATATTGTTCCTAGATGCCGAAATCATCTTCTGGCTTTCTTCAGCATCAGGCGGCCAGAATTCCAAGACCAGCTGGACCCACGGAGCTGTTCTGCCAAAATGTCATCCGGGATCTCGCAGGAACATGCGGTAACTATCCTCCAATAAGAATCTTTGAATCTAGAAATGCCAACCTTAGCCGCCAAGGTTTGCTTCACTGCCTTGGCGCTAGTTTTCCTTCACATTCGGGGTCCAGAACTGTCAGCAAGTGGAGATTCGATACACTTCCATGAGGCGAAACACTCTTCCGGTGAAGCGCAGGGAGCATAGAAATTCCGTGTGTTTACTGCAAATGAGGCATCCATCTACAAAGCAATGTCACAACAAATCTGCCAAAGGGATAATTATGATATAATTAGTACACATCGAAGGGCAATGTCTGAAAAGCTGCTTCTGCAGCCTTTCCCAGCCATGTTTTCTCAGCATTGAACTACGCACTTTGCCCAAACGCGCATCGTGCCGGGCAGTTCCATCTAGCAACAAAAACAAGCGGGCTTGATTGCCCCCGGACTGTTGCAGGTGATCGGAACCCCCAAAAAGATAGGAACATCTATTCCCACTAAAACATACTAAAACATGGTAGTGATAGACTACTTTTCTATCTTTTTGGGCAATTTGTTGGGGTTTTACCAACACAGAAACATCCCATCAACCCACTAAAACGATAGAACCAGCTGGGAAGTTCTGGGTCTTTCCCAAAAGGCCTGCCCGGCCTGACATGCCGTGCAGAAGCGACAGCTGCAAGCATAGGTGTTGATTAATGTGTTGCAATCGAACAGCTGATGATGCACCCAGTAGTTGCAGTCCTGGCTTCCACCTGAGGCGTTTCCAGGCGAGGCTCGAACGTCTCCCATTTTTCGGCGATCAAGGCGGGCAGGCTACCAAGGTTTAGGCGTCTATTGGGTCCAAAAACCAGGTACCCCAAATCCACTGGTCGATTTGTTTTACCCTCTGGTAATTTAACATAGCTATTGAAAATGGCCATTTATAGTGGATTTACCCATTAAAAATGGTGATTTTCCATAGTTATGTTAGTTTACCAGAGGGTAAATAGACTGTCTTCAAGTGATCACCACTATATCTCACATCAAAAAACTGTGACATCCTCTCTGACATCTTATCTGTCAGGTCAGAATATCCGACATTCTATCTAACAAATTCTCACTTTTTTCTGGTGTGACATTCTGTCTGATATTCTGTCTCATAAATATGCAAAAACACATTCTGTCTGACACACACCATCTGGCCTTTTGGCATTTGAAAAAACGGCCAGTGATCTGGCTTGCGAGATCCTCTCCACCAGAGAACAGGCTACGGCAGCTGGTTCTATTTCTCGGGAAAACCAGGAAACATGGGGATATATGTGCCATGGTCAAAACATAGAATATGTGGAGGTTTCCTGAAATGGGGGTAGCTCCAAATCATCCATCTTTTCAATCATGTTGTCATAGTTTCTTCATGGATTTTCCATTTTTTCAAGCATCCATATATGTATATAGGTCATCCAACAGGACTCCCAGGGTACCTCGCGTGGAAAATCTACGCCCTTTATGGATTGAAGTGACTATCCCCAAAATGGCTATTTCATGTTTTTTTTTTTAATTATCCATTTCCTGACCATGGCAGATTTTATGAAGGATATACCAAACAGCAATACATCTCTCTGGTTGATCTGAAAATCGGGGATTGACCCCCAAATGGCTTGTGACGTGTACGGATCGTGTTGAGAAAAACCAGTGGTTTTTACAGGGCTACGCTTAAGTTTACCAGAGAAACCCACTTTTCGGAGCTTTTAAGAGGCCCATTTTATCTAAGTTGAAGTTAACTTGTACATATTGACAATCATATTATTGGGGTCCTTGATTTGGAGGGTATTATAATGTATTATAATCATATTCTAACTTTGGGACATCTTGAGACCTGGCAGTGGCAGTACTGATAGTGAAATGGGATCGTCATCGTATTTTATGACACCCTGAAACCACGAAAAAAAACGCAGGAGATTGCTTCCGGCTTCGTTCCCAATTTCAAACGTTATAAAATGCTATAACAGTTATAACATAGATCCAGCTCTTTGAGTGGCTAGATCAACCATTTTTCAGTGCTTTCTCCATTTGCCTTGGTGAAATCCGAGACACACATCTCGCAGACCTCCTCCGGGTGGTCCTGTTTCAGGTGGAGGATATCTCATCCCCTACCCCTTGGTATCTGGATCAACGATGGAAAAATCACCGGCAAAAACTGGAGGTTTTAATAGTGGTTAATCATGGTTAATAATGGTTAATGACTGGTTGGTGGTTGACCTACCCTACCCCTCAAAATGATGGAGTGAGTTCGTCAGTTGGGATGATGGCATTGCCTTTAATGGAAAGTCATAAAAGCCATGTTCCAAACTTCCAAACCACCATGCAGTTTTAAGATGTGAAAAATGGGGAAATCATCTGATCAAACATGAATCATGATGATTGGATTATGTTCATGCTAAAACTATTTATCTGGTTGGTGGTTTCAACCCCTCTGAATAATATTAGTCAATGGGAAGGATTATCCCATATATATATATATATTATGGAAAATAAAAAATGATTGAAACCACCAACCAGTTTTGCGTATTTCTGGATGGTTAGACATCTCTGAGATAAACCCAAGTAATTCACGAACCTGAAAAGTTCGGCAGTGATTTATGGATTACGACCCTTACGACTCGCATCATAGCTTTTGTAAAATCGCATCCCCATCAATTCACAGAAATTCATAGAAATTCTACCTGAAGCTGCCAGGGGTTTTCAGTGATCCATTGAAAAAACCTGGATTTTTTTTCGTCCCTCCTGCGGCTCGGGCGCAGCGGTGGGCGCCACCTCAACGATACGGTCCGACCGGTGAAGAGAGATCACCCCTGGGAGATGGTACTCCCCCAAGTTATAAGATGTTATAAGTTGGTTTATCAATCCCATGAAATTGCAGATGACTATATCCCAGATGCTCCATGGTGCTGGTAGATTTACCTACAAAACTGGGTCATTTATGGGGTAAATGTTGGTAAATATTCCATACATGGAGCATATGGGTATATAATGGTATATATATATATCTGTAGCATAAATAAACCACATGGATCCATATGGTTACTAAATAGTTAACCTCTGGTAATGGCTAACTAACGGTTTGCGATTTGGAACATCACCATTTTCGGTAAATCGTCAAAATGATGTCCAATTCCTAAAGGGACCCAAGTTTAAGATTGGTCCTGGGGACCTTTACTCATCCAATGTTTGGGGATGATTTGGATCCTATCTGTGCCAATTTTGCTGGTCGTGATCCCAATCTTTTCAGGGTTTTAGTAGTAAAGATTAGTAAAGGCATCTATTGTGCTCAAAAAACATACAATTTCTTGGGGGTCGTTCTCATCTGACTTAGGGGCTCAACCCATCCCACACGTCTGTTCGTAGCCATCCGCAAAACAACCATATCCAAAGGTCATTTGGGTGGAAGGATCCCTGACCTTCAATACTTTGTGACTGAGTTACATGCCCAGAATACATCATAATACTAGAGTTCTACCCATGAATAACCCCATTTGCACCCCAAAGCTGTGCCCCAGGGGCTGAAGTGTCGGGGACGTCCGTAGTGACGTTCGTCGTGACGTTCGTCACCTAGGGGGCAGGTTTGACTGGTTGCTTGAGGGTGGCGTTGCCGGTCTGAGTTTTAGAGGTTTCAATCATTCAGACTTAACTTCTGGCTGAACTCTGGAAGTCACTCGTTTAGGTCGCCTGATGGTGGCCATTTGTCCCGGATTTCCTTAAGTGGTGATTTGATGAACAAAATTTTTCTCGTGATTTTTTTTGGGGAATTCCATGGGGATTCTATGGGGATTTCATGGGGGTCAATTGGATCTTCATCTTTGTTTTGCCATGGATTGCCGAAACAAATCCATCCACCTGACCGAGTAGGCTGTCACAATGTTTCCCTGAGGCGGTAGGCGAGCCCACTAAGGCTTCTAGGACCATAGCTTGAGGTTACTAGGTCAACTATGGTTTCTGATGTGTATATATATATGTTTATATATTATATATGTTTATATACCGTATTCTGTAGTTCATATGGTTTGTAAACCAATCTAGCTATCGGGCCCATGTGTTGGAAAGCGCAGCATGGAGTTTGGGACCCCCTTTGGATCTTTGGGACAAAAAGAAGTGGAAATGGCACCATGATAATCCTCCATTCAACAACTGGTTTGATTTTTTCCATGTCTGGCGTTAAAACCCTATGTGAACCATAGAAAAATACCCCTATATTATATACAGGTATATACCCTATATACAGGTATATACCCTATCTCCTGAAATACTAGTTGGTTGATAGGTTCCCTACTATGGGTTATCATAATCCAAAATTAATAGGGGTTATCATACTCCCCAATAAATGAAATCCCCGATAGTAAAGTAGGGAAACCTATAAAAATATAGAATAGCATATATATATATATCATATATATATAACCTGGTTGATGGGATATCATGAGTCCCAACAAATTAACCAATCAGCTAGGTTATAGGCCAAGAGGACTTGTATCTTATTGTACCCATACTAGTCAGTAGTCACTATTATATAGAAGTTATATAAGTCCCTATTCTACTATACTGCAGCAAGCCCAAAAAAGGATAGACACGTGGGAAGCTTGGAACTATGTGGTAAATATAATGTATACATATTTATTTGCTTGGTGGTTTTAACCATCTTGAGAAATATTAGTCAATGGGAAGGATTATCCCATATATATATATATATATGTAAATAAAAAGAGAGCGGACTACCGTGGGGGGTGGAGTGGTGAAAGTATTGATTTTGCAGTTTTTTTTAGATATGGAAATGGTTTGCACATGAAGCCACAAATCACGACGGTCCAGAATACTACATTTTCTGCAGAGATGTTGTCTCTTTCCAAGAATGCTTTATTTTTTGCTTAGCATTTTGGAAAAGAGAAAATGTCTATATACAATGATTTTGATGCCTGCAATGAATTCTGCATTATATTGTTGTACATATTACCATATGTACATTATATTGACACTATTTGTATATATTTTCACAACAGTTTATGTTTCTCGATAAATATGTATTTGATATTGAACATACATGAGTGCAATTTCCAGCTGCAAATTCTGCATTTTCGGAAAAGTGTTCTGCATCCTTTCATGCTGTTCATGAGTGCTTTTCAAAAAAGAACATGTCCAGATTGAACATGCGCTTCTTCAAAAGATGGTTTAACTAGGATTGAATCTAGACCTTTTCCAGGCATCATCTATATTTTGCCTTAAAAGCGCTGCCTTGTTGAAAAAACCTCGAGAAAACCAAAAAAAAAAAAAGATACAAAAAGTTTCGACCCATGGAGAGGGTCTGAGGGGAAGCTGGACAGGTGACATGGGGTGAAACTTTTTGTTTTTTTGGTTTTTCAATGGGTTTTGGAGCAGTTTTTTCCTCTTTCAGAATTTGGATTGTTTGTATGAGAGTTTGGGATAGATCTAAGCTCCAGGAATGGAAGCAGATCAGCAGACAGGATGATTTTAAGCAGACAGTGCAAAACATGCGCGTTTCTACAATGTGCACGCCTTCACCCCCCATGATCCTCCCTTCTGAATAAAAAATCTTTGAAACCACCAGCCAGATACATATTTCTACTGATTCTACTGTTTCCATCTTTTTGGGGAGGATCGGATTACTATATGGGTTTGTCTGAAAATAGGGTATATTCCCAATTATAGCCATTTAATAGGGATAATGATCATTAACCATTGGGTTTAGGGGTACACTATTTTCAGACACACCCATACAGAAACAATTCAACCAGGTGATCGTTTTCATGGCTCAACCGTTCTCGTAAGCCGCCTCCGGCGGCTTCTCGGTGGGTTCCACTTCCTTGTGACGCGGGGGCGCGCCAGGTGTTGATTTCATCGGGATTTCACGGGAAATCATGGGATTTTTTTTCTGGGATTCGTTCGATTTTGATAGTTTTAATGAGGATACGATTAATGGGATAATGATTAATGGGATGATTAATGGGATGATTAATGGGATGATTAATTGATAGTTTTTAGTTTTTAATGGGATGATTAATGGGATAATGATTGTGACGAATGATTAATGGCCCCGGGCTGAACTCGAAGACTATGTTCTGCAAACTATGGCCATGAATTTCGCCCAAGCTTGGTGCTATGAAGTATTTTGGTGACATCTAAAAAACTAACCCAACTGCCAATGCCAGAGGAATGAGAGCACAACATCACCAAACATAGGTCAAATGCCACTGCCGCAAAAATAAAATGCATCCTTCCATATGATTCATATGATATTCCTACATCAACACTCCCTGATCCTCTCCGGTTTTGGGGCCATTGATTACCCTCCAAACTGGATGCCGTTTTGATACCCGAAAAAATGCCAAAATGGAACCTCCAAAGGTACAGTTCAGATCCTAGAAATGACAAAATTGTGGGTAGAACCAGAGCTACATGTTCCATCATGTTCCTAAAGTTTATATACATAAATTATACATATTCCATCATGTTCCTAAAGTTTATATACATAAATTATACATATATTATATATAATCCCCAAGCAATGTGTTCTCGTTTGAATCCATTCCCCACGGCAGGTCCAACAATCCCATTTTTAGCCGCACCAAGTCACATCATGGATGCAGCGACAGCCTTCGCAGTTGCAGGAGGACAGAGGTTCAGCAGAACACCTCCAAGGTGACACCAGGAGTGCTGTTGACGCATGGACGCATGGGCGTTCCCCCCACCAGTTTCTGTCTGAGAACTAAAGTTATCAATTAGCCAACTGAGTTGTAGCTTTCCCAGGGAGAGTCCTCAAGGGATCGGGACCATCACAGCAAAAAATGGGGTGCGGTTTTTGCACCATTGCCGCTGGTGGGTTTTTATCTGGGGGGTTAACTTAGGCGTGAATTTGGGTCATATGGGTTGACCAATCAAAAATATGTAAAATCTGTAGGGGTCAACATTGACCACCGCAAAATCCAGTCAGTGGGTCAATCACCATTTTCCCTCTTGAAATTGCCAGTCTAGCAATTAAATCCACCATTTTCAGACACACCCACAACCGTAGCCGCTACACTGTAGCCGTTGAAACCCCCTGCACCAGTTGATAGGTGGTTTATCCATGTTTATCCCATGATTTATGGGTACACAATATGGAGGTTTCCTGAAATGGGGGTACCCGGTACCCCATCATCCATTTTTGGGATTTTCCCTTAAAACCATCCAGCTATTGGGGTACCCCAATGGAAATGGAAACCCCTACCTTCTGGTAAACTAACATAACTATGGAAAATCACCATTTTTAATGGGAAAATCCACTATAAATGGGCCATTTTCAATAGCTATGTTTGACATAACCAGAGGGTATATGTTTTCACCCAGAAAATCTATGGCCTCATGCCATGAAGGACGACCCAATAGTCGCAACTGTGGCCGTTGCAGGTGCCCAAGGTGCAGCTTGGAACGTCCTGACCGGGACGACCATCCCATAGGGAGACTCGACAGAAGGGGACCCCCAGGATCCGTGATTGGATTATATAACCCATGAGTGGGATTGAGTGGGGATATTAATGGATATTAGCTATATTCCATTAATCTAACTGGGGGTATAATCCATCCATTTTACGAAGTGGAATGCTAGATGATTTACTAAGAGTAGTGATTTTCCATAGCTCTGTTAGATTACCTGACTGGGTAGCCTCACTGGGATGGCGGAGCAATTCAACTACAATTTGTGGTTGATTTTTAGTCGCATCATTCTTGGGAATCATTCTTTATTGGCCATGAGATTTCCCCACATGGCATGGTCAAAATCCCAATTTTTTTGGGGGGGTTAATCATCCACCTTTTGCGGCAAGTTCACAGAAATTCCTGTCGCCGGCACAAACGGGGGACCCTCAGAAAATTTTCGATGTCTCAAGTTGCGGAAACGTGTGTGTGTGTGTCCCGAGCAATCCTACTTGGTTCTCCCCAGGGAGTAAGTGGAGTATAACTCCAGTATACTCCAGGTACAATTGGACTAAGCCTGCTTTCCCTACCTATGTCTAGGGCTAAAACCCATGTGACTAACGGGGAACCCGTGCCGTCTTCCAGCCCAGGCTCCAACGCACATTTGCTACCCGTGCAGTCGCACTGATAGTAGTCCTCGCGGTCGCCGGAAGGGTTACAATTGATCTTCAACAAATCAATGGGAATTTTCCCTTACATATTTTCCATATAAGGCCATATTTTCCAGGGATATTCCCTTACATAGGCATTACATAGGCCTTATATATGGTAGGTACCTCCATTTTAGGATCCTGAAATGGCCATTGAACAAAGCCCCCAAAAGGAGTTTGGATCCAATACCAAAAGCCAGGAATGGTATTGCATATTAGGGGGGAAGAGATTAGCTCGGATGGAAGTGTCACCCAGTGTCCGGTTGAAATGCCGAGAGCTGGTGAGTACCACACAAGATGATAGGTATGGTGTGGGATGGCTACCAACGGCAACTTAATGGCTATGATATAACCACTGAGCAAGTGACGCAAAAACCTCCCGTTTTTTATTTGGGTACAGTAACTGAGAACCCAGAAAAAGAGAACAGTCTGAATAGTGATAGTCATGTGATGATGCATGTTCCACGTAGTTTTTTTTAGACTACATGCAACACTCCATCTTGCAGGTATGGGGACCTGAAGATGGAATGGTTTAATACTCAAAACCGAGCCACCAATTTCTGCTCCCATTTTTGAGCACAGTTTACCCCATGAAAAATCTGCTTGGATCCCGGTTGGTCGATAGGGATTCCCCGAATTCCCCAATACAGTATATTGGTTACCCTCTGATGAACTAACATAGCAATGGAAAATCACCATTTTTAATGGGAAAATCCACTATAAATGGGCCATTTTCCATTGCTATGTTAGTTCACCAGAGGGTAGTACTGTATAATCCCCCAACTTATCATCAACCAAGACCCAAGACGGGCTTTCGAACACTGCTCAAATGGGTCTTACAGTATTTCTTTGGCTCGACCCATACCAAAAAAAGGATCCCGCTGGTGTGGTCAACGCTGAGACCCTCAGTTTGAGGGCACCCAATTCGCACCACATCCGAATGGTGGTTTCCTCCAAGGAAGACCCCCCAAGGCATCCAACTGAATCTTAGTATTGAAACCCATTTTAGGAAACACAACAAATTGGATCACTGAAAACTGTCACTAAATGGTAGTAAACCATAAACAATCCAACATTTTTTAGCAAAAATGGTCAAGTCCAAATCCAACAAATGTGAAGTGGAATATGGAACAATGGTGGAAAAAACATTCATAAACCATAGACCCAATGTTCACATGAGCAGGGTTCAAACTACCCGAAATGTCATTCCGTTTTATCCCGGCTGGTTAAAAACCGGATTCCCATGGATTCCCGTAATATAGCAACCCAGAAAAGGATAGACAAGTGTTTCCTGGATAGTATCGATTTTATTTACTTATACAATATTTCATGATTTCCCACTGTTCTATCTTTTTGGTGGTTTTTATAGATTATAATAGTGTTATTCTTATCATAATTATTGCTATGATTATTACTATTATGAATATCATTTATGCCCTTATTGATATCATTACTGTTATAACTCTCATTAATATCATTATTAAATATTGTTGTTATTATTATTGTCATTATTAATATTGTTATTATTATTCCCAAGGAAAATAGGATCAAAATTGGGTACCCCAATAATTGGATGGGTAATACTAAAAACAAACCAAAATACGTGGATTCTAGGAATCTTGACCCTTGGCCATTAATACAAAGGGTAGTTATCACCCTCGAACTTTCCGCCGGTATAGTTCAATGATTTTCCCAGCTAGAAACCTTCATGGCTAGTTCCGGAATTTTCCCATCATTCCCATCATTTTCTCATCATTTTCTCATCATTTTCCCATCATTTTCCCATAATTTTCCATGAGGTTCCAATTATGTTCCCCATATTTTTGCACTGCCATCAATCAAGGGCCCCATCCCCCTGCTTCGCCTGCAGGACCTCGCAGGAGTAGCCGCTGGCGGTCCAATAGTCGCAGTCATGCTCGAAGCCTGGTGTTTCATGGGGATTTACCCCGAAAAAAAAACGCAAAAATTGGGATTTATAGCGGCAAAATGGTGGATTTGGTGGATTTCATTCGTGAACCCTGGCATTTTGTCCAGATTGATTTGAATCAAGAAAATTGGAAATGGCGGTATACCCAAGAAATATGGGAATATTGGAGATGAATGGGATTTCTTAACAATCAAATCATTCCACCCAATACATGGCCAGGAAATAATACGGAAAATGATATGTATGATATGCTTACCATTACCAGTGGATGGAATGGGGTACCCAATTTTCAGACAAACGGAGATGGAAGCAACATGAAGGGGAACATTATTGACCATGGAGCTAGATTTAGGTTGGAAATAAACATAAAACGCTGACAATAAATGATTGTTATGGAATATGACTGAAATTACCTGACTTAAAACCGAGCACAAAGACTTAGATTCGAAGCACCTGATCATCCAAGGTCTACCAGTCTACCTTTCAGAACAAATGGCCTTCACGGTCCGAAATCGATGTAAGCTGGCTCTCAATTTAAGCCAAAAAATGCACATGCAAATGGCAAGCAGAGGAGCTATCAAAATTATCAAAGTGAAGTTTCTTGATTGTGTTTTTGTTGCTTAAATAATCTTAAATAATCAAAGCTTCAGGAAGTGGCATGCGATTCAACTCAGTCTCCCACAGGATGGTTGCGCCGTGCCGTTGCTGCCGTGGCTACCCTTGCTGCCGTTGGTGCCGTTGCCCAGCAGCGACACAGGGCGTGGCAAAGGCCTGGCGGATGGGATTTTCACCAATCATGGGGTCGCCGTGCCACGGAAAAACCTGATTTTTCTGGGAGATGGTGCGGGCAGTAGTCTAATTACTGATGGCTGTGTATATATATATATTTATGTATATATATATATACCTTCTTTTCCAGCTGGCTTGTGGATGCGTATGGCCACCACCATGGTGCGCTGTACCATTCATGGTACTGCCACTGGTGCCATGAATGAGGGTGCTAGTCTAACTGCGGAGAAATGGCTAGTGCCTGAAACTCGTCTAAACATGTCTCAAATGGAGGTGTCCATTTGAATAGGGCTACCCCCAGTTCTCATCCATTAGTAGATGAGATCTTCCATTAACCATCCAGCGGGGTACCCTCCATGACTTAGGAAAGCCCCTTAAATGGTTTGAGTCCTTCCCCATGGGTGATCTTCAACATCCACCAATGGATCAAAAAATCGGCTGGAAAAAAAGCTGGCGGTTTCCGAGTATGACAAGTCCTAAGTTTGGAGTACCCTCTGGTAATTTAACATAGCTATGGAAAATCACCATTTTTAATGGGAAAACTCACCATAAATGGCCATTTTCAATAGCTATGTTAGTTTACCAGTGGGTAAGCCATGTTTGGAATTTTTTGGGACCGTTCCCCCAATTATCATCGACCCAGATCCGTCGAGATCCATAAGGGGGTTCTCTGAAACTCGGCGGCCACACTGCTACCACAATTCTATCCACAGGTTACCCTCTGGTAAACTAACATAGCTATGGAAAATCACCATTTTCAATGGGAAAACTCACTACAAATGGCCATTTTCCATAGCTATGTTAAATTACCAGAGGGTAATCATAGCATGTTCCCATGTTTTCCTCATGAAAATGACCAGAAATGAACTCGAATTTTCCACATTCTTTGGATAAACCCATGAAGGCCGACATGGTTAAGTTACATGAAATAAACGTTGCATCAGCCGTCAATGAGAATCCAACTTGATGAAGATGCTTTGATGGCCATCCCCTATGGGTAAGTCATGGTACATCATGCAACCTTTGATTATAGTTGATATTATATGGATACAATATATATATATATGTAGTTATATATGTACATATATATATATTATATCCCAGATATTCCATGATATTCCCGTATACATCACCATGGCAATGAACCCAAGTAACTTGATCATGGCATTTTTTAACTGAACAGATCGAGCCAGCCTGCTCAGCAAGTTCCACTGCGGCGCCAGCGGCATCGCCTGCTGTGTGAAATATTTATGGACTATGGAAGTTTTACATGTTACAATGTACACACATTTCCATATATATAATTATATATATATACTGAAATATATAATGTATAATATATATATATAATGTATTATATATAATGTATAATATATGTGATTTATAATATAATATATATATAACATATATGTACCTAAAAGTCAACAGTTCAGACATCCCAAGTTGGGCTGTGACTCTTAGAGAATGTGCTCTGCGCATCGTGTGGAAATCCCAGAGCAAGATACCAACTTGCGGACAGTGTCTTATCAGATTTTAAACACCATTGTTCCATCACTTACCCAACCTGGAAAATGGTGGTTTAATGGGATTTAATGGTGGTTTAATGGTGGTTTAATGGGATTTAATGGGATTTAATGGGATTTAATGGGATTTAATGGGATATACCCTCTGGTTATGACTAACATAGCCATGGGATTTCGATGGCCCATAGAAATAGATGGTTTACCGAACTGAAAAATGGTGGATCTTTCCATGGCTATGTTAAATAACCAGATGGTATTAGTATAATTTATAATAAACAGTTTCTCGATGAGAACGTGTTCCGCCCAAGCTAGTCTTCAACAACTATGGCTACAACCAAAGCTAACGGTAACAATTGGTGCAACGCAGAAGTTTCACCACATTCCTGGTATGTTTCGCCACTCCATGCGCGAAAATTCCCATGACCTTCAAGTGCGCGCTCTTCTTCTGGATGAGGCCAGTGTCATCCTTGGGGATAGCCACCACCCAGTTTCTGGTGGCCGCGTAAGGCTCGTTGCTGTAGAAATCAAGGTTTCTTAAGATTGATATGACCCTTTGTTTGATGGTTCTCTGGGTATGAATTCAAATGGGCCAAAAAGTTGAGTGAAATGATCAGTTTGCTAGTTAGGGACTATCATTTTGACCATCATTACCATCTACAGTCTGTGTCATTTCCAATGAATCCTTAAAAATGTGCCAGATACTGCCAGTTGTGCCAACAAAAAACATGATCATGGCCAGTCTTATCTGCAAAAAGTTCAGATTCTTGAAGTCTTGGATAGTCTGCAAAAAGTCAGATGTTCATTGGCTGGTTACTGTACTATACATAGATCCCCGAAAAAGACGGTGAACGTCTCCCCGGTCTCCCCAAGAGGAGCGCCAATGATGGGCAAAAATTGTCCACCATCTGGTGAAGATGTTGAAAATTATCTTGTAAATGTAAGAAAATTCTATCTGGTTGGTGGTTGACCTATCCCTCTGAAAAATGATGGAGTTCGTCAGTTGGGATGATTCTTCCCAATATATGGAAAAATAAAAAATGTTTGAAACAACCAACCAAATGATGTTATATATATGGGGATCATTTCCATATAACAGGTGAATCCCCATCGTAGGAAATGTTATATGAAATTATATGGGGATTCACCTGTTACCCTCTGGTAAACCAAGAGTTTGCGAACTGGAAAATCACCATGTCTAATAGGTAAATCAACGAAAATCCTAAATGGCAATTTTCAATAGCTATGTAACAAATTACCAGAGGGTGTATGATGTTATATGGGATTCAGCCATCTTTCTGCGCCACAGAAAATACAAATCAGCGCGTCAATCATGAATCATCAAATTTATTAAGATTTGTTAATAACCCTGGTGATCATGAGTCACCTACGTAGGCTATCCTAAGCCAACCTACGATGCGTTGCGATCCGCTGGTTTTGCAAGGGTGTAAACCCCGCCGCAAAAGAGACTGAGCCGACAAGGCTCAATGGAAGCATCGCACTCCTCAGCATGCCTCGATGTCCCCAGCGTCCAAAAAAAACGCTTCAACCACACACAAAGCACGGAAAAAATCACCAAACCCTGGAGTTCAATCCATACAAAATGGAAAACAAACGGTAACTTTGCCGAACAGTGTTAAGTGAATCCAAACTGTATCTGAGATGGTGGAACATGTGGAACCAACAAAATTGATTAACGCTGAGGGACTCAACCAGCTTCAACGGAAGTGTGCATAAGGTATTGTGGCGAAAATTCCTACATGCCCTGTGGTAGTTGAACATAGCTATGGAAAATTGATGAAAATTGCTATTTATAGATGATTTACCTACTGTAATAAAAGTGGTAATGTTCAATAGCTACGTAAAGTTACCAGAGGGTAAACAAGCTTCAACAACCAGAGTTATCAGGCTTCTACCCTCACTTTTTGCACTTTCGATCTCATTGTCCGTTGCTTTCCCGCCTGAGCAACAAAAATACCCTCTGGTAAACTAACATAACTATATGGAAAATCACCATGTGTCATGGGAAATTTCACTATTTCTATGGCCATTTTCAATAGCAAACTGTAACAAATTACCAGGCCGTGTATCTTCCCAGTCTTCCCCAGTCCGTTGCTTTCCCACCAAGATGCGTGGCGACACACAGTGCCGCCACCACAAGCCTTCGCATCTTTTCAACCTCGGTTCATCCCATGTGCCTTCCTGGTGCCCAAGTTGCACCAACGTGGTGTCCGACTTGGTGATCCCAAGACATTAAAAAAAAAGTAACTAGCATGTATCAAATGTATCATGTTTGAAAAAATGAAGCAACCATCTCAACATATCTCAACATATATCACCAACAATGTCACTAACCATTTCCGCGTCTTTGTTTCTGCCATCCGAAAAAACCGCGGCTGGGAACGTCAGGGGCGAGCTGAACTCGGCTCGTTCTAATATGAAACGCTTCGGTGAGTCGCCCGGACGCCCCAGGCTGAGAGCCAATCGGCCGAGGGGAACGAAATATTAAACTATGTCTATATTATGTATATATATATATAATGTATATATATATATATGTATATGTGTATCTATATTGTATAATACTTGTATAGTGTAATATGACTTTTTGTCAGAGTGATAATGATCATCATCATCATCATCATCATTTGTTATCCATTCAAATGTTTGTAATGCTTCTTTCAAACGTGATACTTTGGTGTTCCGCTTTTGGTGTTATTTTTTTTGCTGGACCTCCACTAACTTCAGGCCCACATCCCCAGTGAGATTTCACTTGCTGGCGCCATCTGACAACAGAACTCAGGGATGGAAAAATCAAAAATGATCGAAACTAACAAACCACTTACAGTAGTTGTACAATCATCTACAATCCCTCCTATAAGATGACTTTGTCTTGATCAAATCCGCCCTGTCCAGTAGGTGTCCCGCGGTTTCCCATCCCAACCAGTTCAAAAACACCACGGCCACACCTCTGACAAGCCGAGACGGTAGCACCTCACAGCGTCATCGAAAAAAGGTATGTGTTTATGCAATAGTGATGATCATCAGCAGCAGCAGCAACAACAACATCATGATCATTATCATCATGATCATCACCACCACCACCACCACCACCATCATCATCATCATCAAAATACAAAATACAAAATACAAAATTGTGTTTTTCGTGTTCTTATCGTAAAAATGACAAAATTGTGATTACGATTTTTACAAAATGGGCATCCTCATCAACAATCATCAACATCAACCGTCAATACCCTCTGGTAAATTAACATAGACCCTGGCAGATAGGAGTTGGAAGATTAGTTTCCATTAAAAATGGGTGATTTTCAGGGTCTATGTTAATTTACCAGGGGGTATCCATCAAACAAGTTTCAGTTCCACCGAAGCTACCCAGACTGTCGCTGCTCTCGGCGACCAGCTGACTCAGCCGCAACAACGTCACGGCGCCGGACCAAGCGCTGACTGCAACGAGTTGGAAGATGTCAGATGTTCAATGTATGAAATTTAATGCCAGATCACTTGCAAATCACGTGTTGAATTCGGAATACCATTAGTGTGTGGGTATACGTGTATTTCTATATATTATACATATGTATATCATACACATGTGTATACATATACAAATACATATACATATACATATACATATACATATACATATATATATATATACATACATACACATATTAAAATATTCTGGAGAAAACTCAACTGGACCCTGGGGGCGCTGGCTCTTCGTATGGCTCAAAACTGGCACTTCCACCAAAGTTGGTTCTACCAAAACTGGTAATTCTCAGCATGTTAAAAATATCCGCCATATCTAAAGGTCATGTTCTGTGAAAATCGATGGTTCTTTTCAAATATGAAATCATCACTTGGAAGTTCCAGTCATAAGTGGATATTAAATGATATTAATACAACCATAGTTATAGGGTCCTATCCCAACTTCTATGGTAAATGTTAGTTCAACATGGTTAATCCCATCCCATCCCATCCCCGGTCAAAGGCTCCGCCTGTGTCAAAGGCTCCGAGTGTCACGTCATAGGACACCACGCCTCCGAACCAGGTGGAACTGGTATGAACTGGTAAGGGATGTCCGTCCCCAATGTATGGGGGCTCCTAACCATCTCCTTATCATGAAATACCCTCTGGTAATTTAACATAGCTATTGAAAATGGCCATTTATAGTGAGTTTTCCCATTAAAAATGGTGGTTTTCCATAGTTATGTTAGTTTACCAGAGGGTATCATGAATATGTTGACCTATATACTGTATCCTTGCAGTCGAAAATCCATTTAGGTGCCAATGCACAAGAAAAACTTCCGAAAAACTACACTGTACCAATTTGTTCCACGTGTTTCACCCAATGCAGCCATATATCGTCGCATGTTACGTCCAGTATTCTCCGAGTCTTTGGCCAAGACGCTTGGCTGGGCCCTAAGGCGTCCAAAGGCTTTCAGTAGAGCCACGGCCACCGGCCAGCGTCGACCCTGGCAGCGAAGAAGAGTCATGTTTGGCCTTGAGAATGGGGTATACCCAAGCATTACTACATCAACTTTAAGGGGGTATCCTATTGTTAAGACAAAGCCAAATATCATTCATCTGGGTAAATTATAATATTTCACTAACCTGAATAGTTCGGCCATTGGGGATGATTTCCCTAAAATTAACCATGATTTCCAGGTTTCGGGAGAACAGTGAGGTCGTGATCAAATTTACCCAGATTCATGTGACGTACCACTGCCTTGGCGATGGCTCGCAGCCCTGCATGTAGACCTGTATTCAGGCTGCCGCTACAGCTCCGAAAGGCAAGAGATGGATAGGGAGGAAACATGCACCATTTGACCTAGAGCAAGTGGCTATCATTTAAATTATCTAGGGAATTCTAGGGATAATTTTTTATAGACTATAGATGGGTAAGTGGCTCAGTAAGTGGCTATCATTTACCCTATAGGCTGTGTTTTTGTCTCTTGCAGACTCGTGGCACAAGCTCAAGAAATTTGAACATTCACGTTCGCTGCACCAAAAGAGTGACTTAATAATCCCTAATGACGGTCGATAAGGGATTAACGACCATGTTTGTTTGTTTTTGTCTGGGTTAAAGTTTTAGATTTCTATGAAATAGAATGGATATCTAAGCAGCTATGTCACTGGCTCGGTATCATTTTTTGGTAAATAATATATACTGTAATATGGTTAGCACGTGCATCTGACCATTTTTTGATCGTAAAACTGTTCGCTCTGTAGGGCCATGGCCACGTCACAACTTCATGCGTCACATGGGACAATGACAAGCCAGTCCTACGGGTGGAAAACCAAAGCCCAATGGCAAAATCCGCCATCCCAATGGGTTTGACTCAGTTTCTTTTAAGCCGCTTGTTTTCCCACCATATATATAATGCATAAGGCACAAAGAAGCATCCGCTGCAGCCTTATATATATATATATTGTAGGTATATACATACATCTTATACAAATATATATATACACTATTTCTACACATATTATATATACAAGTATACACAAATGCACTGATGATGTACCCTCTGGTTCATTTAACATAGCTATTGAAAATGGCAATTTAGTTCCTTGATTTACCGGTCAAAAAAAAGATATGTTCCATAGCAAACTCTTAGTTTACCAAAGGGTCAATCATGGATGATGTTTACGCATACAGTACATATCATAATATAACGTAACGTAACATAACATAGCATAGCATAACATAACATAACACACATACATTAATAATCATATATCTATGTATATTTATTATATACATACAGCTCTAATGTCAACCCTGGATCAATAAACCCCAAACGGCTGTTTAATTGGGAGGGCACCATTTAAGTATCAAATCAGGGCTATTGAAAAAATACCTCCCTAATTAAAAAACATTGTTTATTAATCCGGGGTTGACATTAATGACATATCTGTATATGTTACTTTAATATATATATATATACATATATATATATCCACCTGAATCTATATTATTACATATATCATCTACCGCCATTTAATACCACCAACCAGTTATATATACCATCAGATATATATATATATAACCAGGTCTTATATCATCATATATATATAATATATATATATAGATATAGATACCAACTGGTTATATATCCATCTATATCTGGTTGGTGGTCAGTTGGGATTAGTATTCCCAATATATGGAAAAATAAAAGCCATGTTCCAAACCACCAACCAGATATAATTACTTATATCATCTACCGCCATTTAATACCACCAACCAGTTATATATACCATCATCATCATATATATATATAACCAGGTCTTATATCATCATATATATAATATATATATAGATACCAACTGGTTATATATCCATCTATATCTGGTTGGTGGTTTCAACCCCTCTGAAAAATATTAGTCGTCAGTTGGGATTACTATTCCCAATATATGGAAAAATAAAAGCCATGTTCCAAACCACCAACCAGATATTATTACTTATATCATCTACCGCCATTTAATACCACCAACCAGTTATATATACCATCATCATCATATATATATATAACCAGGTCTTATATCATCATATATATAATATATATATAGATACCAACTGGTTATATATCCATCTATATCTGGTTGGTGGTTTCAACCCCTCTGAAAAATATTAGTCAGTTGGGATTACTATTCCCAATATATGGAAAAATAAAAGCCATGTTCCAAACCACCAACCAGATATTATTACTTATATCATCTACCGCCATTTAATACCACCAACCAGTTATATATACCATCATCATATATATATATAATATATAGATACCAACTGGTTATATATCCATCTCACCAACCAGGTCTTCGCTCCGCACCCGCTAGGCCATCCAGGTCGGCACTGCACACCAGCTGCAGGGCCAGCTCCCAGCGCCCGGCCGACGCGCAGCTGCTCAACGCCGCGGCGGCGCAGCTGGGACCTGCCCCGAAGATCTCCAGGGATCTCCAAGATGTGGAAATCATGGGGAAAACATGGGGAAAATGTGGGAAAAACAGCTGGAAAAAATGGGAAGGTCACCTAGAAACTCAGGTTTTTTGGTGATTTAAACTGATGTTTCTCCAGGTTAACAATGGAAATCACCTTAGATGGTGGATTTTCTTTTGGATAAACTGTTTCTTAAAGACAGAGGGGGAACCGAATTTTCAAAAATGAGATAAAACTCAATGAAAAATATCCAGAAACGATCCAAACATGGATTGCCCTCTGGTAAACATCAACATAACTATGGAAAATCACCATCTTTTAGCATTCCATTTCGTAAAATGGATTATAACCCCAGTTAGTTTAATATCCCAAAAAAATATCTCCACTTATGGGTTATATTAGGGTTCTATGGGCTTTTTTTAATCCAATCACGGATCCTGTCCTCGTGGTCCCTGTCAACTAAAACCATGGACCATGGCGAGCCCCGCCGCGCCTGGCGCCCGCAGAAAGAGCGCCATGTGCCACTTCCGTGCCGAGCCCACGGCGCCGACGGCCTGGAGACAAGATCGGGACGTTGTGGCGCAGTGGAAACGAGTGGCAAGTTGCACCCGGAAAAATGGTGATTTACCATAGGAAAATGGTGGTTTAATGGGATTTAATGGGATTTAATGGGATATACCCTCTGGTAATTTGTTACATAGCTATTGAAAATGGCCATTTAAATAGTGAATTGTCCCATGAAACATGGTGATTTTCCATAGTTATGTTAGTTTACCAGAGGGTACTGAGTAGAAATAGAGGTGTGTACATAGTTTTTTGGTGAGGGGACTGAACCAGAGTTTGGGAGATGTGTGAATTGAAATGTGGGACAATCCATAGCTTTGCCCCGGAAATTGTGGATTTACCCCTTAAATATTCCAAAAAAATACTGTGGTTGTCTTGAGAAGGACAATGAGGATCCATTGCAATCCTCCGAAAAAACCACTGGATCTGGGTTACATCAACTTCTGGGCCGAATTTCCTGGGCTTGTTGAACAGGACAAAAACTACTTATGGAAACGGGATCTAGCAGGTGATCAGCCAATCTTCTCCTGCAATTCTCAAGGATCTTAAAAAACATCACTTGAGTCCCAATGAGTGTTGGTGAAACATCAAACCATGGCTTTTCATATAGGAAAAACCATGGTTGTCATGGGAAAAACCATGGTTTTCATAGGAAAAACTATGGTTTCCCGTCGTTTTTCCCAACCAATCCATAGCGCCAAGGTACTGCCCCAACGGCCGCCAGGTCGCACTCGTCCAAGTGGCAGATGGCATGGAGCCACTGGGAGGCCTCCATTTTTTTGGATGGTTGGTAGGTCTTGTAGATATACAGTATATGTATATATATTATTATTAATTATGTATATATATATATGTATTCAGTATATATATATGCTTATACATACATAAAGAATGAGAGAGAGAGAGAGAGAGGTATGTATGTATATATATATATAGAGAGAGAGAGAAATGGAGATGTGGATTTATGACAAAGCTTTTGAACTATCCTAGCCAAGGTTTGTCCAGATCCTACGGACAGATATCCTCAAGACACAAACCCACAGATTTCCTGCGGCATCTCACTTCATCAGGTCCAAATTTCATCACTGTATTTTTCCTGTATCTACCCTCTGGTAAACTAACATAGCTATTGAAAATGGCCATTTATAGTTAATTTTCCCATTAAAAATGGTGATTTTCCATAGTTACGTTAGTTTACCAGAGGGTATCAAAGCCGCTGTGATACACAAATTGTGTGCGAGGCAATGCGGGTCGCACCCTCGGGGGTCAAAAAAAACACAAATTGTATCCCCTGGTAATTTAACATAGCTATGGAAAATCACCATTTTTAATGGGAAAATCCACTATAAATCGCCATTTTCAATAGCTATGTTAAATTACCATAGGGTATCCCCAAGACTTCATTCCCTCATGGCCTACGTAGGCCCCGGCCTGTTCGCAGGCAATGGTCAGCATGCTGCGGCTGATCTCATTGGGACGCACCTGGGACGAATCTTGGATCGGGGAAATATGATATTGAAGCATACAATTTTTTCACCAACATTAACCATTATTAACCATGATTAACCATTATATTAACCATTATATTAACCAATTATTAACCATATATTAACCATTATTAACCAATTATTAACCAACATTAACCATTATATTAACCATTATTAACCATTATTAACCAATTATTAACCAACATTAACCATTATATTAACCATTATTAACCATTATTAACCAATTATTAACGATTATTAACCATGATTAAGCATCATTAACTGGTTGGTGGTGACTTGACCATCTTGAAAAATGATGGAGTTCGTCAATGGGAAGGATGACATCCCATATATGAAATGGAAAATAAATAATGTTTGAAACCACCAACCAGCATACAAGATAATTGAAATTTGTGGATTTAGGACCACCAACCATTGTGGGTCTAGAACAATACCAAGATGATAGGGCTGGGTGCTTCTTGGATCCTAGGCCCAGCCAATGTTGACCCCACCACTGAGCCCACCGTGGCCATCGCAGCAGCCAGCAGCAGTGCAGCGGCATCTTCCCATCCGCCCTCTTGCGCGCAGGCGTAGGCTGCTGAACTGCAGGTGATTTCCTCAGCGGAGGGTTCTCCATGGGCCCAGTACCCTCTGGTGATTTAACATAGCTATGGAAAGATCCACCATTTTTAATGGGAAAATCCACTATTTCAATGGCCATTTTCAATAGCTTTTTGTATGTTTACCAGAGGGTACATCCAGAAACACCAGCTCTGGAGTGAACATCCAAGGTTTTGACCAATGATGAGTTGGTTCTTCTAGATCAAAGCTGTTGGATTTCAGGAGAGATGCTGTGAAATAAAAGTGGAGAGATGTGGTTTTGACCTCTCTGGGTTTCATTTGCCGAAACTGGCCAAAAATGGTTGGTCTACCACCCCAGAAAGCATTCAGAGATCCCCCTGGATTGTTGGTTCTGCCCTGCGATACTGGTGATACGGAAAAAAAACAATGGCTTCTATACTACCCTCTGGTAATTTAACATAGACATAGCTATTGAAAATAGCCATTCATAGTTTATTTTCCCATTAATAGCATGGTGATGTTCCATAGTCATGTTAGTTTACCAGAGGATACCCAAAAAAACTCCAGTGGCTATACGTGGCTATACCCTTGATTTGTTCAGAACACACAATCACCAACAACCAACTCGGGCACGTCAAAACAGGATGGATATTTTTTTCGGTCGGAATCAAGATGGTCAACAAAATGTATCCCCAAGCTGCCATCAACCAGGATGGTTTGCCCCCCCCCCACAAAGCAATAACATGTGGCCCCCAGGTGAAGATGAAACATGGTGAAACTGTCAAATTTGATGCCTGCAGACTTTGTGCCTTGCAAAGTAGAGGGATCGGTTAATGGCCAATTTTGAGTCCTCAGTGGTTCAACATCTGGACTGGAGAGTACACAAACCTAAGCACAGGGCCCAGGTCTTAAAGGCTTATGGTGAAATTCGCTAGCTCCAGGGAGCCTTCACCGCCGCCCATTTACCGCTCAGCGTCGTTGGGTCGAAACGGCAGCCTTCCTCCCATCTCCTGCAGGTGGCAGCGCCGTGGACCGAATACCCATTCTAGCCCGCAACCAATGCTATTTTTCATGGCTATACAGTATTAATTACAGTATATGGAGAAAAAGAGATATACCCAAAATCATCAATGATCAACTTCAACGGTTTTGTTGGTCTTTATTGTACCCCCATAAGTATTTCCCCATCATACACATATGTATACCTATATATACACATGACACATACACATACACATATACACATATACACATACACACATACACACATACACACATACACACATACACACATACACATACACACATACACATACACATATACACATATACACATACACACATACACACATACACACATACACACATACACACATACACACATACACACATACACACATACACACATACACACATACACACATACACACATACACATACGCATACACATACACATGCACATACACATACACATACACATACAGCATACAGCATACAGCATACATTATATATATATATATGTATACAGATATTTATTTATTTATCTATTCATTTATTCATTTATTTATTTATTTATTTGTATATATCTATATTATATATATATATATTCATATAATACATATCTATACAAAATCCATTAAAATCCCCATCATCTACGTAGGGGGCCGTGGTCCCTGGGATCCCGACGGTCCTCCCACAACTCCAGCGCCTTTCGCCAGCGCAGCGCCCCCAGGACCGCCGTGTGGCGCCTGAGGCCCGGCGACAGCCTGGCGGATGGAAGCGGACCCGGCTGGAGGCTGATCTATGTTGATACCATGGAAAATGGCCATTGAAATAGTGGATTTATATAGTGGATTTACCCAGCTACAACATGGTGGATCTTTCCATAGTTATGTTGAATTACCGGAGGGTATCTAATATTATATCATGAGCAATTAAATAAAAATAATAATGAGCTCATCAACTATAAACTTAACTTGGTGTATATAATAATGAGCAATTCAGTTTTCATGTAAAAATTCAACGGTTTTTGATGAACAATTGCTGTTGATGGTTTTGTTGATGATGAACAATTGGTGTTGATGGTTTTGTTGTATGTTTATCATCGAACATATTCGTGGTTGGTCAATGGAAGATGGCGCGAACTGATCTCCGGGATGCATCGCAGGAATCGCGTTATTTGGATTTCCGCATCATCGGCAAAAGTTCGTTTTTGGGAATATCTGGGATATCCCTAGGTTTATACTATATTAACCATATATTAACCATATATTAACCATATATTAACCATATATTAGCCATATATTAACCATTATTAATCATTAATTAATATGGTTTATGGACCCCCCCAAAAAAACTGACCAATTGATTGATCCGAGTGGGATGCAGCTGGAGTAGCCTGACCCGGTCATAGATGAGCCGGGAAATCCCCGAAAAAAAATCGTTATTTTTTAAGGTGAAACCAACTAGAAATGTGGGGATTTTCCAGCCATGTTTGATTACTGCAGGGAAAAAAATCTCGTTTGCGCCCAAGAATTCCGCCATGAAACCCAAGATTCACGCAGACTGGATCTGATGAGCTATGTGGATCAACAGCCCTCATGGCCTAATGGCCTTGCCGAGAAAAATGCGTAACCCGCGCTTTCTCTTCTAATCCCATGGCCCTTATATTTACCCTCTGGTTATTTAACATAGCCATGGAAAATGGTCCATTTATAGATGGTCTACCTATTAGAAATGGTGATTTCCCATGGCTATGTTAAATAACCAGATGATATATTTAACACCCCCCTTTTTTTGAGTCCCAGTCGTATCAATATGACGGGGATGGGATTCATCCCTCATTGCAGTTGTTGAATATTGGTGAATACTGTAGCTATTGTTTAAGTGGCATCCTCGTAGATCCCCAGCGATATCCAATGTTTCAATGTGGGGGGGATGGGATTACGATGGATTCAGTTTTTGATGATGACTGGTTGGAGCTTCCATCTTGAAAAATGATGGAGTTCGTCAATGGGGTTCGGATGACATCCCATATATGAAATGGAAAATAAAAAATGTTCCAAACCACCAGATGGTATAGTTGGTTATAAACCATCATATCACCATTCATATCCCATGAAAAAAACTGTAAAATGATTATCACATAGTTGGTTTATAAGCATCATCCCATGATATAGTTGATTACCCTCTGGTAATTTAACATAACTATGGAAAGATCCACCATTTTTAATGGGAAAACTCACTACAAATGGCCATTTTCAATAGCTATGTTAAATTACCAGAGGGTAGTTGATTATCCCACGAAACAAAACACATGTGTGTTGCTTCCACTGGACACCGTTGCGGACTTTTCGGAACGGCCTGCCCGTTGCGCTCTGCGCAAGTAGCTGGATGGAGCAGCGCCACACCAGCGCCTCGATGGGCCCAAGAGATATCATGACGAAGTGCGTCATGACCTGTGGTAAACTAACATAGCTATTGAACATGGCCATTTCTAGTTGATTTTGCTCGTAAAATATGGTGATTTTCCATGAAACTTGGTGATTTTCTAGTTGATTTTGCTAGTAAAATGGTGATGTTCCATAAACTTGGTGATTTTCTAGTTGATGTTGCTAGTAAAATGGTGATTCCCCAAAGCTATGTTGAACGCTTACCAGAGGCGATTTCTTCGAAAACACCCAACCTTTGATCCAGTAATTGGCATGCGAATTCCACCCGTGTTTCACGGGGATGGGAAGACATGTTGCAGGGGAATTCCATGGTTTCTATCCCCACAAAATCACAAGGTTAATGAAAAACCTACCGTATTGCTGGGTACCCTCGATGATCATTTCCACATGGCTATGGAGATTTTGACCCATTGATCCATCATTTGATGATTTATCATGGATTGATCTACTAAAAATGGTGGATTTTCCAGTTGATCACCGTTGAATCACCGAGGAGGTGCTCGCTGATAGGCGGCGCTGAGGGTGTTGGTCACCACTGGGCCTGCCGCCCAAACAGCACGGGAGGAATTTGGTTAGTTTGGACAAAGAACCTATTAATAGATAGGAAACATAGGTAAGATATGCTTATTAATATGAGGTGTATATATAATGTATTATATATATAATGTCTATATAATGTATATATAATGTCTATATAATTTATATATAATGTATATACATATATATATACATGTATATAATGTATGCATGAACCTTAGCCTTGACCATCTTTAACCTGGTTTTATCTCTTCGGCAGCATGTCATCCGCCTGGGTCCATCAGCGTTCCAAGTTGCAAGGCCTCCTGCCACTGCTCCTGGACGAGCTCAGCGAAAAACATCCCTTGCCAGTATGGTTGAAAAACATGTGAGCCATGGTCAATACTCACTATATGGTTGATGGTCATCCCATCTATAATAAGGATCCTTATAATGGTTATTATAAATCCCTATGAACCATTGGATGACTAGCCCCTATTAATGGTTACTAACCATGAGTATTGACCATAGCTCATGTAGAAACTATATAATGAACTATAGATCAGCAGAACTATAGATCAGATTAGATTGATTAGATCAGCATGTATATATATATATGTATATCATAGAACTATAGGATATAGATGAACCATAGAACTATAGATATAGATGAACCATAATGAACTATATACGGTATAAATTTCATAACTGTAGATCAGTATGTACCTGATAAAACTATTAATAGAACGATATAATAAATCCCTAAAACTTTGGAAAAGTAATTGATCACTATATCTGATTGTAGGATGTTCCTTTCCTATATTTCTTGGGTTTGCAAAAATAAATTCAATGATCGTGCGTGGTTCACGCAGTTGTCTAAAGGCATCTCAATGGGATAAACCATCTTAAATCCCAGTTACATATCGGTTATCGTGGTTTCATCTCATCCAAACACCTTGAAATTCGGGTGGGGTCGTCAGCCCAATAAACATTGGTCTGCAAGCACCAAACTGTGAAGAAAATGTCTTCAAAGTAGACCTGTCCCATTTTCAAATCCCCGTTCCCAGTGGTTGTGCGCTGGTCGAAAGCCCACGTTTTGGTAGCTTTGTGGCATCTTGGTTCACCATATCCTTCTTACGCCACAAATTTGAAAAACAAGATATGCAGAATAAATCCCCAAAATACAAAACTGATCAATTAGGATGTTCATCGTCTTCACACAAGTCTTCAATTGGACACTCACGTTTGGAAGCTGTTTAACCTTATTGTTCTTGTTTTTGAAACGGCACGACTTCTATCAAAATGATCTCACCATCAAGAAATCATCGGGAATCTTGGAAATCATCTTTACCGCAGATGGCAACTTCAATCAGGAGAATTCCATGGAAATTCCCGTCGAATGCACATGGAAATTCCCCATGTTCCAGGGGTTTTCCCATGGCCTGGCAGGCATCGATACAGGAACTCGCTGTGAAGCTTTCTGCTGGAAGCCTGGCTGGTTTTTGTTGGCCATTGATCGCCATGAAAAGACGGGAAAATGTGGGTTTTTCAGATGGAGAGCATGGGGGGTTCAAGGCAATTTCATCCAATTTGCACTTTGTTCCAACATTTCACAAGCGTAATCTTCGTTAGTATGTACTTCCATCTGCATCGAAACTCAGAGATTTTGGTAGTAATTTACCCCAGAGAAACAGCAAAAATCTTGAGATATATTATGCCTTGCCTCAATAGTGTCTAGCTCAATAGTCTGGATAAATCACGAAAAATCACCATGTTTGATTGGTAAATCGTCATTACCATCTAGTTTAACGGTGATATTTATCATGTATCACCTTATCAACAATCTATATAATGTTGAACAGTGGGTTATTACTAGTTATTAAGTTATTACCATCTAGTCCAACATGGGTGATATTTATCATGATAAAAAATCACCATCTAGTGTTGAACAGTGGGTTATCACCATCCAGTGACTAGTGTTGTCGTCAATGGGAATTTCAGGATCCAATTTATGGAGCTACGTTAGTACCATTTTTCAGGCCATATTTTCTTGGGAGATTCCCTGAAATTTAGGCCTGAAAAATAGGCCAAAAATATATGGAATCGGTAGCTCCAATGAATCGGATCCTGAAATTCCCATTGACCATGGAAAATTGGTCGAAGCATCACAACAGCCATGGCGACAGTGAAAACCGCATCACAACCCTCGCCTTCGGCTGGCCATCACCTGGGATCGACCCGCTGCAGCCATGAATTTTAGACCAAAATGACATTTCAAATTAGATTTGATAAGAATTGAATCCTGGATTTTAGACCTTTTATGACATTTATGACATTTTAGACCCTTATCTTTGGATAAAGATTTGATCCAAGTTATAGATTTTTAACAATTGGGGTTGACTCAAATCTGGATAAGCCACATCTGTGCTGAGCAACCAGAAACAGGGCTGAGCCGACGCAAAACTCATCAATGATTCGTCTTGTTGGAAAAATCATCCGGGAATCCGGGGCCTGCTTGGTATACAGTACACAGTATCAATACAGTATCAACATGTATCAACTACGATCCTCTACCATCCTTTACTGCACTGGTCATTCAATGGGGGTTGCCCCTCCAAATCCGTAAGACCTCGGGTCTTGACCATGATTTCTTCAAAGGACCTTCCCAGACATGATCTCGGCTTCCGGGCATTTCACTCACCGAAAACATGCTTCAGAATTTTCCATTGGAGTGTTGTAAATCTGTAATCTATGCCCAAGATTCTTGATGATGTTCCCACTATGATAGCCAAAAATGGTCTAGTTGTGGATTGTTACATATTGTTACCCTTCGCTAATCCAACATGACAATGGAATATTGAATATTCATGGAAAATTCCCCATTTCTTGAAATGATGATGTTCATTGATTTTCGCATAAAAAAACCTTCATCGATGACTCGAGGATTTTCCCATGGCATTCTTCAATTTTTCCATAGCGCCTGGAGCACGTGCAGGGCGCTTGGCCAAAGGTCCTCGTTCTCGTTGGCCAAAGCGCCTTGGCAAAATTTGGGCGTCCTGGGGGTGTTCCGACCAATCCTGTTATGGGAAAATCCGTTGGAAAATCCATCGGAAAATCCATCGGACTCTCCAATGATGCTTTGAGTGGGAAAATATGGGGGGAAATAGCCATTGATTGTTGTTGAAATTCTGGGGAAAATCATCCAAACAAGGGGGGTGGGTGTCCAGCCAGCCGTCTTTGATGACCGAAGGGCAACCCTGAGAAATCCCAGGCTGGCCAATCAAAATCAACGCCCTGATGATGAATACGTTAATTTAAAACATGTACAAATGAAAATAGTTTCCGCCATGTTTGCCTGCCACATGGCATCAGTTTTAGGACTTACTCATGAACCACAAATCATCAGTGGTTCTAAAGCAGGTCATGTTTCTGGTGGGTTGATCGCTGGCTATCGATACTATTCACCGAGAGCATAATATGATTGGTGGTTAGATATCATGTTATAGCCACTAATGGAAAGTCTCATGTTGAAAGATCAGTGGTCATATATATATGTATACATACACAATCATTATAATATAATATGTATATATATATATCATACAAAAATACCTCGATCTTCAAACGGACAATGTCTTCAATCATGTTGGGAAACAACAAAAACAAAACATACATATTTTCCGCATCTTGCGGTCTCACATTATCACAATTGTACATGAATTATATACCGTTAATGATGATGATAAGAAAACTATTTTTAATAAAATCTCTCAGAACACCACGAATATTACAATAAAACTACTCACCACTATACTGAACTCACCACGATTAGTGTTACCAAGCGGCTGATCAGCGCGTTGAAGCCTCACCATTGGGCTGTGAAATCCACCATGAATGGGCATTGAAGATCATTTTCACGGGAAAACTATGGACACCTCATAATTTGGGGAGTGTTTCATTGAGATGTGGGTCATCCCGGGTCTGTGTCTTCAACGAAACCCAAAAACGATTCCAAGGTTGAAACTGGGGACCTGGGATGCATCGAACGGCAAAGAGCGAGCCACAAAGACGATCCGAAGTTGGAGGTGAAGGACGGATGAAAGGATGGATAAAGGATGGATAAAGGATGGATAAAGGATGGATAAAGGATGGATAAAGGATGGATAAAGGATGGATAGAGGATGGATTCTGGGATAAACTTGAAGTAAAAATAAACACCAAACCAAAATCCCCTCAATAATGGTTGAGCACAGGAAAACCCAAACCATGTCACCGGATATTTAAGTGAGCCAACCCACAGCGCAGAGTGCAACCAAGTGGCACACCGTGTTGGGTAAAACTGCCATCCCTCCTCGGTGGTGAATCGGGCAGAAGGTTGCTGATGTTCATGAGAAAACCCATGGGTTTTACTGTAGAAAGACCAACACAAATCAACATATGCAACAAGACATTGATTTAGAAAGAAAAAAAGGCGAGCATTGCTGGAGGTTACTGTAGGGATCTCAATTTGGAGTTTAAACTTAGCAACCTGAAATCCTGGAGTTTTTCAAATTTATCAACTTGAGATCCCACGTCAACTCACAAACCTGGGGCAACACGCTGACTGGTGGTTGAGCCACCCCATTCTACAAAAAATGAAGCTGAATTACATATGTTCCCATTAAGGGATGGAAATTGAAAAAGAAATATGAAACCACCAAGCAGGTCAAACATCTAGATCGTTCCAAATTGACAAGGTTCATCATGTTCGTCCCTCAAAAAATACATAAAATAAAATGACCATTATTGGGGGAAATGCGTAAATCGTCTTTTGCGGTAAACCCAAACTCTATTCCTGGTGACATATTTCATATGATATTCTCAGTATATCCCTATTGTGTTCCTAATAATCCCGTCCCCTATATAATATGAAAATATATGAAACATTAAACATCCCCTGAATGGTCCCAACTATGTGCTAAACTATGGTTTCTGGAAAACTTATATTAGGAGGATGGGATTAAAATGACCTAAAACAAAAGGCCAAAGACATCTCCATCCACCTCATCCTGGGTATGCGGACGCCACAGGGTGAAGACCCTTCGCCAGTGATCTTGGCAACTGCTGAAGGTGCTGCTGAAACCTCAGAAGTGAGGTCTGATGTGGCCGTCAAAAACTTGGAAAATCCCATGGTTTTCACATCATGGCTGGAAAAACCGATGGAGATTTCCTAAGTCATGGGGGCACCCCAAACCATCCACGTCATGAGGGCCATTTTTTGGTAAACCCATGGTGACTTGGGGATCCCCCAAATATTAGACGTCCCCATAAGGATGGTCATCTAGACACATCCCAGTGTTTTGGCACCATTTTGGGCCTCATCTCTGGGTTTTGTATGGAAATTAAAGGAGGTGGGTGGTTCCCTGCGCCTTCAATTTTGACCCCTCTCCATCAATGACGCTGAGAAGTTTGGTCATTCCACCAAATCCCTCATGCGAGCAGCTGAATTCATCTGCAGCAATACCATTGACGCTCATCTGACCTGCTGAAGAGGCTAATGGGTGACAAAATTTGGACAGGATCCGTGTTTCGAGCTGTGTGTGGGCCGAATTCAACATGCGTTTTCCGCTTACAACCGGCTGCCAGTAGTACCGCGGAAGGCGGTGGCGGAAGCTTCAAAAATAGGAAATCTATAGGAGGGTTTGTTTGTTGTGACGCATGGCTGGCAGAGCGAACCCACTGATAGACCGAGAGGTGGTTGAGGCTCTGAGTCTCTCTCTCTGTCTCTCTCTCCTTCTCTTTCTCTTTCTCTTTCTCTTTGTCTTTCTCTTTCTCTTTGTCTTTCTCTTTCTCTTTCTCTTTCTCTTTCTCTTTCTCTTTCTCTTTCTCTCTCTCTCGCTCTCTCTCTCTCTCTCTGTCTATCTGTCTATCTGTCTATCTGTCTATTTGTTTATCTGTCTATCTGTCTACCTGTCTATCTATCTATCTACCTACCGACCTATCTAACTATCGATCTGTCTGTCTGCCTATTTATTTGTCTGTCTATCTATCTAACTATCGATGTGTCTGTCTCTCTGCCTATCTGCCTATCTGCCTCTCTGCCTGCCTGCCTGCCTGCCTGTCGGTCTGCCTGTCTGTCTGTCTGCCTGCCTGCCTGTCTGTCTGTCTGTCTATCTGTCTACCTGTCTATCTACCTACCTGTCTAACTATCGATCTGTCTGTCTGCCTATCTATTTGTCTGTCTATCTATCTAACTATCGATGTGTCTGTCTCTCTGCCTATCTGTCTGTCTGTCTATCTATCTATCCATCCATACATCTATCTATCTCTTCCTCTATCTACCCACCTATCTATCTATTTATCATCTATCTATCTGTCTGTCTATCTGAAAGGTTGTGTGCAGAGCTGACGGCCTCGTACCAATGCGTTTTGCGATCTGGCCGCCCCATCTACTGCGCCTGCCACGAAACAGTGAGGTCAGGTCATACGAAATACCGCACCTCTCCCACAGAATCATCTTAGCAGACCTGAAGATCTGATGCTCCAAATCGCAGCCCCTCTCAGGAAATAATCGCCTTGACCTCCTAACATGTCTGATGGAGATGTGTCTTGTACTGCGCGTGCCACGCGACATGTATCAGATCCTCTTCACACGTCCCACGCCTGCCATCGTGATTGAAACTGCGACAAAACCCACAAGTTTGGCTCACTTTTAGCAAGGCGCAGAAGCCATTGCACATGATGATTCAACGTCCAAAAAGTGGTCCGAACGTGGTGCGTGTTTCAAAATTTTGGCTTCAAAATGTGCTTCGCACCAGACAATCGTCTGTTTTTGCCATTTGCTTCGCGCCACAACAGCGTGCACTTTTTCGACATCTCAACTTTCCACAAGTGCTCCGAGAATGGTACTTTGAACATGTTGACTTCGAAATGTGCTTCGCGCCACAAGGGCGTCTACTTTTTCAACATCTCAACTTCAAAAAGTGCTGCGAACGTGGTGTGTTTTGTACATTTTGACTCGTGCTTTAAAATTGTCAAAATTGTCCAGTTTCCTGAAAGCTGAAGGCAACAGTCTGGCAGGGTTTGCAAGATTGCATTGCCAACCAAAACAATCCAGAAGATGTATGAAGATGTCACAATCACATTGTTTATCCAGCTCTCTTGAGACAAAAGCTCATCCACCCAGACAACAGAACACCGCTCTCTACCAACAAGAGTCTGAACAGGGTCGACCGCGATATTTTCCATCTTCCGTGTGTGATTCGTGGGGCGGGGGTCATCCAACCACCAAACAATAGGCGCAGTACTATTTGACAGCTATTTCTCCACCAAGAAAAGTAGCTGAACCACTCTCCAAAAAACTCTCCAAAAAAACACCAAGAAAAGAGTCACATATGGCTTCGTCTGAACATCGGGTCACCCAAAATCCCCTGGTTAATCATCATTTTCCCATCTGTTCATAGATGTTCCAACGTCTTCTCTATTCTTTGATGGCCATTTGTTGCGGGCTCCATCCCCCAGCTATTCATTTTTCAAAGGAGCTCAGGAGGTGTAGGGCAGAGTCCCATGCAGAAACGCCATAGGCCTACCAGCCAGTGATTTAACCGATGGGTTTGTCTGATCATGGTGTATACCCCCGCTATTTTCATGGCGAAACTGATGATAAGACAAAGCCACATGGCAACGGTATAGATGGCCCTTTCATGGTGATTTTCCGGAGCGAACTGGGGTGAACCAGCAAGTACCTAGTGAATGACCAGTATTGGTTTCGGATGCCTTTGGGTACCATATTTTTTGTCCGGAAATGGTGTACCACCTACTATTGGGAATTACAGCAATAATATTGCTTGCTGTAAAAGATGGGATGGTCTAGTACGAAAACAAACCAGAGAAACGGGCACAGTACCAAAAAGAATGGGATGGTCGGGGATGTTTCTGTACTGAAATTGACCAAAAGTGTGTGGTACTTGGGAACTTAAACTTTGACGTATCTGCTTGGCAATCAAGATAATTTTAGAGCCACTTGTGTTACTGGTTTCAAGATATTCAACCACAGACCATGGGTCCTCAAGTGGGGAAGCATATATTCTCTGGTATATCCCTGGCAAAATTCCGGAAGCTCTGGAAAATTATGAAGCAGTCAAGAATAGCATGACCAAAAAAAAGTCAACTCACAAAGCTTGGGGCTTGGTATCTTCCTCATGTTTCCTCCAGATTTTTGACCGAAAATCTTCGAAGATCTATCCCATTCTATCCCAAAAACCTCCACAACGTTTTACCCTCTGGTAATTAATCACCATTTTCAATGGGAAAATCCACTATTAATGGTCATTTTCAATAGCTATGTTAGTTTACCAGAGGGCATCCAGGCCCTGTTTCGGACCCCGCAACCATCGCTGGGTCCACGGACGCTCAGGGCGGCGTTGTAGTGGAACACATTGGCTTCCACCCTGGATGGTTCCATCCGTTGGGTCCACAGGGGACGGTCCTTTGCCAATCTGTTAAACACCCTGCAAAAAAAAACAAATAGCCGGTCATACAGCTGTATGTATATATTAATCAATTATATAATATATATATATACACATTTATTATTATTATATATATATGTATTATATATATATAATACGTATATATATATATGTATATATGTATATGGATGCCCATGTACAGCACATACCCCGTCGCCCCCAGTTATCAGCTACTTGACCCCTCTTATCCACACCTGGCCGCTGCCATCATCTTCAGGACTTCTTCGGCCAGATCCTTCGGAGCGGGATCTCCCGCCGTGTCGTTTGATGGAAATCTGCGGCTCAAAATGGGCAAATCTACTTAAAGACTTTGTAACCATGGTGATTTCGAACCACTTACGTCGAATGATCCTCTCCAATAAGGGAAACCTAACGCCAGTTTCTAATTCCGGAAGTGTTCAAGAAGCAGCTGATTTGGGAATAGCTTTTTGGGAACATCTTTTTGGTACGTGTCAGTCCCTCCGAACTCTCAGACTACAATCGACAATAGAGTAGAAACCACTTTAAGCCTTGCTGAATCACTGGGAATATATACATATTTATAGTAATACCATATATACCAGGGAATCAGTTATATATATATATATATATATATTAATCAGTTATATATATATAGATATATATATAGTGTTTAATTCCCTGGCAATTCTGCTCGATCACTGGGAATCGTCTGAGCATGGAAATATGATTTGTCGGATCTCGTACCATTTGTGAGGCACGTTCTGATTGTCTTCCAATGTCATGGTATATTACTGAATTACTGAAGAACTGGTTGGTGCTTGACCTACCCCTCTGAAAATAGTGGTTAATATATAGTGGTTAATCATGGTGAATCATGGCTTATGCTGAATATCTGGTTGGTGGTTGACCTACCCCTCTGAAAAATGATGGAGTTCGTCAATGGAGTTCGGATGACATCCCATATATGAAATGGAAAATAAAAGCCATGTTCCAAACCACCAACCAGCTATTGTTGAGTCCTCAGGTCGCCGAAATTGAGGCAGTTGGATTGCGCTTACCAATTCCATCCAATTCATCCGATCGGTAAGCGTTGGCACAACAACATTAGAGCTTCACCCCACCCAGCTAGATGGTACCACATAAAGTGACCATAGATCATATGAATTTCCCTGACGAACTTGGCGAGGATGTTCATCACCTAGAAGCGTTCCAGGTTCCGGAATAGACCAACGTCATAGCTCCATCTTGCTGGGTAAATTATAATAATTCACCAACCTGAATAGTTCGGCCATTTGGGGATGATTTCCCTAAAATAAGCCATGAGTTCCAGGTTTCGTTCGCAGTGAGGTCGTTATAATTTACCCTCCGTCTCTGCAAGAGTCCCGAAGCCCGATCAAGTGAGACTTCGGCCCTTCGTCGGTGGTCGACGTAGCCATGACGCCCGCATTGGGGCCATACCTGCCAATCAAAAGTGTCATGCAAAAGAGAGTGGCCGTTGGGCCTGTTTGCGCCATTTCCTCATCTCAGTGTATCCCTTTGCCACATGTTTAAGTGCCTGTGACCAGCATCGTGTCAATGTCATCCCTTCCAGCAACCGCAACTGAATACCACTCATACTGGGCAGCGCATCCGTGTCTGTACTCTGTGTAACAAATTTTTTCATGTATTCTGCCACTTGAGCCTGCTCAGGCATCTCCGGTCTCTGCAGGATTCCATATGGCTGGTGCCTCCCCCCTAGGAGGTAAACGCTCTTACAAAAGCCCTTGGCCCTCACAGGCCATACATCATGCGTAGTCAATTTCCTTATCTGAAGGATGAGGTTCGCAAAGTTGTTTGCTACTTCTCCCATCTGTAGGTTATAAACTTGCACGGTGGTCCAATCAGGAAAAGCTTGTAGATAGAAATCTCCGTTCGGAAGCGGTCTCTTTTGTGGCAGCAAAAACTGGCTCCAGAGGGTAAAAGACACCCAAAGCTCCATCCAGCTGACCCCCGGGTCTTGGGGGAGTGGTTCTTCTTGTTTCCTCCACTTGACAAGCAGCATCCATTCTTGCACCAATTTACATACCTCGAGCCCCCATGGTGAGTACTGAAACATGGTTACCCCAGGTGGCGGTGCGACCCATGGGTCAGCCACTGTCCAGCAAGCTAGTCTTTGTTGTGGGCTTGGGCCTGAGCTTCTATGCAACATGTCATGGAGTAAACCTTCATGGCTATTTCGTTGCAGCTTGGCATAGTGTGTACGGAGTTCCAGCAACATCTCATAGAAACTCGCAAGGTATGTCTGAGCCTGATTAGTATCTGTGAACATGTCATCTGCAAGTCTCGTGATTTGCGGGTGGAGCCTGGTTGCAGTTTGTCCTGCAACCTCATCAGCAAGTGCATTACCCAAAATATCGTATATCTCCAAGGCAGTGTGTTGTATCGTAACCTCTTGATGCGCTTTGACCTTACAAATACTCCTACGTCCCGTTCTCAATGCTGTCCAGAGTCTGTACACCAAGTCACTGTCAGTCATGTGGCTCAGTTGTGAAAAAACCACCGCATCCAGGCATTGATTGAATGTGCTAACTACCGACGCATTATCAGTTTTGACGCAAGTGTTTTGGGTCCATTCGCATATACAAACCACCGCAAAGAGCTCAGCACGATATATTGTTTGATTACCTGTCACCCTAGCACTAGCTAACCGACAAAGGGAGGCAGGAAATGTTCCAGTCTGCCTCCAAATCTGCACCTCCGCCACCCGTTGCTCCGTGTTCATGCACGTATCCATGACTATGGCATAGGCCCCATAGCGGCATGTTGCAGAGTGTGGATGAATCAGGGCTCCATCTGTGTAGAAGGTGGGGATATATTCAGGTGGCAAGTTGGCTAGTATGTCACTCATTTGCTGGGAAATCATGGCCTCAGGCTGGCAAAAATGGAGATGTTCCAGGAGTTGTTGGTTCTCATGTTGCAACAGAAAAGGTAACTCATGAAACTCGCTACCCATCAACTGCATCCAATCAATTGTATCACGAAACCTCTGTCTAACGTCAGCAGCGGCAGGACATTCGTAGATACGGTGGTGTCTGGAGTCGGTGTCTCCACAGTATTGGCATTCTCCTGTGGCATCTTCAGCCCATTTACTTTTTTGGCTCTCTGTCTGATAAGAGAGTGAGATGTCTTGGGCAAGCTGGCGTTGTGCTGTCTCACTGAATTTGGCAATTACCTGTCTGGTATCACATGGGTTTAGGCGGAGCAGTCTTAATTGCTTGCGGTCACTATGATGCAACATAACGTCTTGCCCCCATGTGTACAGGGCCCACTTGGCAAAAACTGCAGTATTGGTGCTATGCAAAGGTAAATATATGTTCGCATCAACCTGGATTCTGCCATCAGCATGATAAGTCCAGCCCAGTTTGGAGAGATAGAAGACCATACATCCCAAGGGGCCTTTGCACTGTGCAGCAAGACCTGTGTGTCTGGAGGCTACCCTGCGAAAGGTGGCCTGCTCTGCAGGGGTCATGTGGTTATACATTTTTTTCATAGCTCTGATGGATCTAATCACCAGCTCCAACATTGGGTCCTGTAGCTTTGGCATAGCCAAAATGGCCAGGGCCGCATTTCTGGATTGGGAGTGGCCCAACATGGCGTTAGAGATTGCAGACCGCAACTTCCGAACATGTGTCTCCCCAAGGGGTATCACCTCCGACCCATAGAATGCCAGTGGTACAACAGAGTTCTTAACAAGCAAGGCTTTTGTGTGGTGTGGCAATTGGTGTTTTTCCAGTCTTTGGAGTCGTTGGTGTGCACGCTCCAACCTTTGTCGAAACTTCCCCAACTGCGGGGCTCCTTGGTAGGTCATCATTGCACCTAAGTCCATAGCACGAAGCTTACGGTGCAATTCAGCCACATACGGCTTAGTGGCCAGGACCTGCAGCAACATGTTGTGCATGGTTGGTGAGGTGGCCCACGTCCAACTCTTTTTCCAATCTACCACCATGTGTGTCATGTGTGCCAGGTCCGTGGTACATTGCAGAATATGTTCATGTTCAGCGGGTGCAGTAGCAGCCCAAGACCAATTGTCGGCATATGCAGAAAGGAAACAGGACGGCGCCTCTTGTTTAATAGCCAGAACCCAAACATAGGCCAATGCCAGGATGCTGACAACACTCCAAGAATCTCCCTCCGGCATGCCATGGTTAGTGCTAATGGGACTAGTGCACTCATGTCCTAGCTTCCAAACCCTTGTAAGGTTACGCAGGGAATGGCTCCATTGTTCCACAATCTGGGCAGGAAATCCCAACCATTCAAAGGTCATCTTGACCGCCCATGGTGCAATAGTGTTGAAACATTTCAAGAGGTCAATCGACATACCTGCCGCATGCGACTGTGACCAATGACTGATCTCAATATGTATCTGCTGTCGCAGAAAGGCTTCAGTGGGTCCCCTACCACGCAGGAATCCAGTGATGTCCGGTGGAAGGTGTTGAGCCAAATGAGTCAACAGTTGCCTAGTACACACTTTAGCCCACAGCCTATATATCTGTGGCAAGATGGTTATGGGACGGACTTGCCCAGGTGTTGGTACATCCGGGGTTTTAGGTATAGGAACAGTGATGGCCAACATGTAATCTGCCGCAAACCCATGGCTTTGAGCTAGTAGCAAGCTTTTGAGGTGTCTGATGGCGGCTGGCGGCAGCTGTTGCAATTCCAAGGATGAAATCCCATCAACCCCTCTTGCTGACGGTACCTTAAGAGAAGCTATTGCCTGTGTCCACAGTTCATCATCATTGAGCCGCAGAGCAGGCCCCGGAATCTGTTGTGGCAAGCTACGAAGGAGTGCAGCAAATGCTTCATGTGTTCCAGGTCTATCCCCATGGCTATTCCAGTAAGGCAACCAGTACTGCGTGAGTAACGCAAGAATCTCCCTAGGGTCTGTGTGGATCTTGTGCTGCAAGAGTTGGCAGCTTTCATCCGTAGCTGGCATGTTCTGCGTCGGTCGCAGTGTCAAGGAGAAATCATCCACACTTATGATTCGGCAGGATATTTGATTTACTTCAACTGGGCAAGCTACAGAAAACTGGTGGGGATTATCACAGTAGGCTATTAAGGTTCCATCATCTTTAGGGACTAAAATGGCATCCTCTATGACGTCTGTGACAACCTCGTGGAGAGGCGGCATGGCTGGTTCTCTGATGCTTGCAAAGGCTTTTCGGCTTCCCCCAAGCTTTCGGTCCAAGTGTTTTATATAGTTAGCTCGATCCCTATGTATCTGCTTATCCACAGCCAAATCATGCTGGGTCTGGTGTTTAAGCAGTTCAAGAAGGGTATGGAGATAATCTATGGTTGGAAGAAACATGGCAGGTGGTCCCAATTCCGGCTGTCGCTGGCACCATTGGACGAAGTTGCCTCCAAAGGCTCGTGCACGCAGGATTGCATTCCATTCTAGGTGAAGTTCATGCCATTTATCAAAAACTAACTGGGAGAGGACTACTTTCATGCGATTATACAAGGCTTGGACCCTCCGGACTTGTTTTACCTTGTGAAGAGTGGCATATCTAGCAATCTCATCTCCAGACGCAAAGTCGCCTGGTCGTGCTACCTTAGTTAGCAAGGCACGTTGGATCTGCCTAGGCTTCCTTGGACAGCATCTGCCACGGTAGGCTTTTGAGAGTGGCTGAACTGCCAATGGATGAGTCCCCAGGGCAAGCTGTGTCTGTCGGTAGGCACAGTCAATGGCACATTCAACTGTAGCCCCCCATTCACGCAGGTCTTGTGGGCTTCCTAGGACATGATTGGCATGTTCATAAGCTTCAGGAATATATTGGCTATCGATGTTAAGTTCAACCCAAGTGCGAGGCAACTGGAGGCATTGCGCGTACTGAACATCTGCTGGTATCTGCAACCTAAATGTGACTACCTGGTGGGTATCAAAGTCCCCAGGCGGGCAGACATGCACTTGTGAGACCCAGTTGGCAACCTCGGGAGAGCAGATTGCCATGTCAGGGGTAGTTACTCCCTTACACGTTGGGGGCATAGGTTGCCCTGTGAGCTGCAGATGGAGCGTGCGCAAGTCAGCCATCTGTCTAGCTTCAAGTTCTTCCGCCAGAATGGCCCCAGGATTGCAGTTGAAATCACCCATAATCACAAATGGTAGAGGATAAGAATCAACAGCTGTCAGCGCTTCACGAATGAGATTAGTATTTGCTCTATCCATGCCGGACTGTGCCAACCCATATATGACAACACATTGAAGTTGGGTTACCCCCACATCAATTAGGAAATGTGCCAACCTTGAAGTGGCTAGAGTGGCATCAGCAATGGTTCCATGTAGGTGACGGATAGGCCAACGGCTAAACAGTGCAACCCCCGAAGCTTTCCCTCTGTTGGAGGGGAGTTGGTCTGTCCTTTCAACCCTGTCTGGCAACGGCAAAGACCACTTGGCTCGGAAACCTACCTGCCTCATTTTTCCTCCAAAAAACCGCTGTACCTGCTTGGTGGCCGCAGTTTCACTGGCGCTGATGATGTCCAACTTGTGATGTTGTTATAATTTACCCAGATCTTGCCGTCATCCCTACGTTGCTTGGGATATGCTCAGATCATGTCATCCCCGGCCGAGAATTCATCTCGGAGCCAAGAGACGGAACGGCCCAACCTGGCGCGTTTGGACGTCGGAAACTTCACGTATAACGGCGGTGATGGTAAACCCAAAAATAATATGACATGCAATGATAATATATATAATGATAATAATAGTAATTAATTAATGATAGAAGATGATAGCAATAAATATAATATAGATCATGCAACCCCTAGAATTGGGGTTTGTTTTAGTCTTATGTATTTATATATATATATAATGGTCAGTTGGTTGGTTTAATGGAAATCTACATGAAACCATTGCCTTTACGGGGACATGGGGAATTTAGCCAAGAAAATATGAAAAATAATGTGGCAACCCCAATAGTACTACGAATACTAATTAAGATGGAATGGGATTTAACTATCTAAATCTAATTGGGAGACTGGTGGATGATCACAATTTATAATATATGGCTGATGTGGCAAACCCAACAGTAACTGTAAACCAACCCCACTCAGCCTCTAGTCGTGCTGGTATCGCCTGGAAAAAAAGCTGGCTACATTCTATGTCAGCGTTTGCTGTCGTTTTCATACTGATCAATCTGGGGCAACCTCCATCTCTGTTCATTCTGTCTGCGTGTCGCTTGCTTCAACCCAGATTTTTTTTGTGCGTATCAGATGTTTATCCGATTCTTACAATATTTGGTTTGCATGGGTCCATTCAGTGGGTTCCCACAAAAAGTGGGACATCCTTCAACCTCCCATGACCCAAAATTCAAGCGTGATGTCCAGCCCCTTTGCGTCGCAAATGGGTACCCCGTGACCGCCCCAAAATGGGGTTGGGGGATCCATCAATCTGGGTAAATTATAATATTTCACTAACCTGAATCTTGCGGCCATTTGGGGATGATTTCCCTTACTAACCATGATTTCCAGTGAGGTCGTAGTGAGGTCGTGATGAAATTTACCCAGATGGATTTCCCACCTGGCACATTGGCTCAGTACTTTGGTGCCCCTCTGCGGTTGCTGTCGCCATGTTGGCAGCTCCAAAGCTACAGCCTCCCCAGGGATAAAAAGGTGGAGGATCTGTGTTTTAGATGTGGTTTGAACCATTGAAAATACGGATTCCATGTGATGCCTAGGTTTTTTATCAAAGGCAAAAAGATGGCCACAGCCTATCCTAACTCTTCATGTGATATTGATGCGACTATTATTAATTATTAATTATATAATAGGAAGATTGTGGGATATATAACCAGCAATAATCAAGAGTTTAGATGGTTTTTTACCCCATGGATTTGTCTGAAAAAACGGGGATCCCAGAATCCATTGGTTTAGAAAATCATGTGTCCATAACTTCCCCCCGTGAAAATTGCCATTTGGGGGTATATGATATTCCATTTTAAGAAACATCCATATTTATTACCCCATAAATGAATATAAATGATGTGTTGTCTTCTGGCTACCTCCCCCAAAAAATGGAGTCAAACAAGCAGAATCCCAAAAAAAATGCACCAACAAGTCGACCTAAAAAGGAACCACAACCGCTGGTCTCTGACAGTCCCATACCATATCCAAAGGTGTTTGGAAAAAATGGATGAGAGGACCATCTTTTGGAAGTTGCAAACGGATACTCTGATCATGTCACATGGGCACATGGGAATGGAAAATCCTGACTTTGTGACTTTGGGAAAATATCTGTGATACCAAAAAAGGTGATTTTTCCATGGCCAATTGCAAAATCATCAGATATCATCAGGCTGGATCGTCACCAAAAACTCCACGGGAGGCCCAAAAACTGGGACCTTGGCAAAGATGCCAGCTCCAGTGTGGTGGAGTGCACCAAAAGAGCTTCGTCCGAGACCCCGGAACATGACGCCCAAATCGTTTCTGAAAATGAGATCTCCCTAAAATCCAGTGGCTTACCCTCTGGTAATTTCTTACAGTTTGCTATTGAGAATGGCACATAGAAATAGTGGATATTTACCCATGAATAGCATAGTGATTTTCCATAGCGAACTGTTATTTTACCAGAGGGTAACTCCAGTTATAAATGGGATAAGTAGACTTAATCCACAAAAATCCCCGGGAATAGTCCACTAACCCAGTGATTTCATTTATAATCCACTAACCCAGTAAACTATACCTCACTTTCCCCCCAAAAAAAACCGGCGCCCAGTTTTTTTTTCGCCTCCAGAAAGGGGCCACCATCGCCTGATGGGCACAACACAAAATCGCTAGCTGGTAGCATGTTATATGAAGATTTACTTAGGGAAATCTAAGATCTCCATGTATCGTCCCAACAACAATGCCAATATCAATATCTTCCTATATCACCATTGATCATTTAATATATTAAGATATACCCGGCCTGGTAAACGTTTACATAACTATGGAAAACCACCATGCTATTCATGGGAAAACTCACTATTTCTATGGCCATTTTCAATAGCTATGTTAAATTACCAGAGTGTAAATAAATACATTCACAATGTCAGTTGATTGTGGTAAGAGCATGGAATCAAGCAACGGAGGCCTGAAACCCTGACGATGGCATGGCAGCAGGGCGTTGGTTCACATGGGGGGCTTGGAAGATGATCTTCCTGTGGGAAATAGGGAGTTCTTTGGGTTCCATCTCAAACTGCTTGGTGGTATACCTACCTACCCCTCTGAAAAATATTGGTCAAGTCAGTTGGGATGATTCTCCCCAACTGAATGGAGAAAAAAGCACCGACAAATATTGGTCAGTTGGGATTATTATCCCCAATATATGGAGGAAAAAAACATGTTCCAAACCACCAAGCAGCAAATTTCTGGGGTTTGAAAGCTCCGTATCACCACTGCGGTTCTTCCCAAAAAGTCCAAGCCTTCGAGCTGCGGGCAGCCCGGGCCCGGCACCGGCGCGGGACCCATCCATGGCGGACTCAAGCAGCATCGCCATGTAATGTGGGTAGAACAGTGCCATTAACCAACCAGTATAATGGGATGGGATAATGGTCAATGATGGTTAGTACTGGTTAATGTTGGTTGATGTTGGTTATTTTACCACCTATTTAATTTGGAATGGTAACCATAGCACCTATCAAAATGCTGATGACTGGGGGATGGTGCAGATAGCATTGTTTTACCCACATTGTATTCCGATATTTTTCCAGCAATGGCACTTAAACCATGGCTTCCTGTCAATGTTCCCTCGACTGTTTTTGGCCATGTTTGGGCCTTGAGCGAGTCAATGGTATGGACCAAGCAATTGGGGTGTTTAAAACTGGGATGGTTGAGACTATATCATGCTAATATACCATATTATACATATATACACATATCATATCTATATATATAGATATCGATATAGATATAGATACATATGTGTATATATATATACGTATATATATATATATGTATAGATATAGATATAGATATAGAATATAGATATAGATACAAATATAGATATAGATATAGGTATAGATATAGATATAATCATAGATCATAGATCATAGTCATAGAATGTCATAGACATTACCAGTCCATCAGATTTGTTCTTAGATTGTGATGCAGATCCAACTCACGCCGTCTGACACCGAATTTCGGTTCATGGCTACCCAGGTAGCCTCTTGTTTTGTTGGCATCTCTCGGGACCGACGACCGAGTATGGAAAGTGAGTTTGGAACGGGGTCCCATCATAGATCATTATAGGGTGTCCTTACACATGCCAGCAACGCCAGGTTCACCTCTTTAGATGTCATTGGTGATCTTTCATGTTTCACTTGTTGCTTGGATGTGGGTACTCTGGGGATATGCTTAAAACTCCCTGTCGAACCCATAATGTGCACATGAAAATAGTTGGTGCTCATGGAACTCCAATGGTTTCAATGCTTCAATTCATGTTTCTGAGATTGAGATCGTTGTTACCCTCTGGTAAATTAAAATAGCTATGGAAAATCACCATTTTTCATGGGAAAATCCACTATAAATGGTCATTTTCAATAGCTATGTAACAAATTACCAGAGGGTAACCAATGGATATCCTCCTTTGAGTGATATTACGTAGCCATCAAGATTCCCAGCACGTTTTTTCACACCGACCAACTAACGTAATTCTGGATGGGAATGCCCGTGTTTTTCTGGTGGGAATCATCCCAAATCAACAGTTCATCTCTCTTCCATTGTGATAGCTATACAAAAATACACAGGTCATCATTGGGAGTCCAACTCAGGAAGTCAAATTCTGGGACGCGGTGACGCGGTGCCTATGGAAAGGTTTGAGGCTGTCTGAAAATTGGTGAGACAAACTTTGTGCTCAGTACCCTCTGGTAATTTAACATAGCTATTGAAAATCACCATTTTTAATGGGAAAATCCACTATTAATGGTCATTTTCAATAGCTATGTTAAATTAAATTACCAGAGGGTAGTCCAACAAACATTCCCATCCCAAAGATATTCCCTCAATCCAGTTCCGAGGACCTGTCCATCATTTCATCAAAACATGTTTTTCAAGATCCTGTGCTTGCCATAGCCTCTGGTAAACATACAAAAAGCTATTGAAAATGGCCATTTATAG